AAGGTGCAGTCACCTCACTTGTGTTATCAAGTTATACTCTCCTCATACAGATGAATACTTGTTTCTTCCAAACTTGGAATGCACATTGTGTAAATGCACATGGGTATTTACTCAATTTCTTAGGTGTCTGTATGCACCCAGTGAAGGTCTCTTTAGTTTTGGAAGGAATGTATTTTCCAGCAGAGAATAGACTCTGGTTGCGAATACTGTACTCAAATGCTTAGTTAATTTAATAGGTCGTACACTTGTTTGAGGGTTCTAGGTTGGAAATTGTTTTGCTTTCAGCTATTGAGCTGGATCAGAATTGGTGTTGCTATACTGTGAAATGTAATAATAATCCTTGCATTTGATATAACACCTTATCACGTGGTTGAGCCATCTCAAAGTGCTTCACAGAAAATACTGTAAACTGAAATGACTAAAGTGAATTTTGTAGGTGAAAAGTGGCAGCCAATTGCACACAGTAGTGTAGACTGTTTTACATGAATTGTAACCTTAAGAAGCTGTGTGAGCTTTCTGATGTTCTGTCCAGATGTTGTTTGGATTCATATGGAACTGAAGATCAGCTGTAGAAGCTCTTACGTTCCTTCATAATGTGGAAATCTGATTTAAGTGAGTTAAATGACTGATTTAAGCAACTGATGTATCTTCCTGCTTCAAAAATGGGTGTTTAAATTTTTATGTTAGCTGTTTCCAGTGGTCTGTCCTCTTTGTGGTTTACAAATGTTTGATACCTGGAGATTCTTGAGAACACAAAGCTGTAGCTCGTCACGAGGATATCATTGATTCCTGTTGTGAGACACAAGCCAGATTTGTCACTTTCAATAAATGTTGATACAAGAGAGAGAAGTAAATAAGCGTACTTGTCTGTACACCACCATTGCTTCATTCCACTTCACTAACTGTTACTCTGAGACACATCTGAATGTCTGAGTGCATTTCTTGACTAGTTAGTCTTATTAATAATTTCTTCCATTTTTTGGTATTTTACAAAAAATATTGGATGTATTCTACTCTCTCCCCCCTCACCCCCCACTTCCCAATTGCCCTCTCCTTTCCTCATCACAAGATGACAACAACATATTGCATTTACATAGGCAGAGGGCAAGCCCGACGTACTGAATGAGTACTTTGCATGTCTTCACAAAAGAAGAGGATGCAGCCAATGCCACAGTATCGGAGGAGAGGGTGGAGAAATTGGATAAGATACGAATAAACCGAGAGGTGGTACTGAAAAGGTTGTCAGTGCTCAAGGTAGATAAGTCACCCGGTCCAGATGGGATGCATCCTGGGTTATTGAGGGAAGTAAGGGTGGAAATAATGAAGGCTCTGGCCACAACCTTTCAATTTTCCTTGGACACCGGGGGTGGTGCCAGAGGACTGGAGGGTTGCAAATGTTACTCCACTACAAGAAGGGGCAGAAGGATAAGAACTACAGGCCAGTCAGCCTAACATCAGTAGTGGGGAAACTTCTGGAGACTATAATCCAGGACAAAATAATTTTTCACTTAGAATTTTTCACTTTATTGGTTAATAAAGGACAGCCAACATGGATTTGTTAAAGGTAAATCATGTCTAATAAACCTGATAGAATTTTTTGATGAAGTAACAGAGGGTGGATGAAGGTAGTGCAGTTGATGTAGTTTATATGGATTTTCAAAAGGTGTTTGATAAAGTGCCACATAAGAGGCTTGAAAGCAAAATAGTCCCAATGTATTAAAGGGACAGTGGCAGCATGGATACAGAACTGGCTGGGAGACAGAAAAAGTGTGCAGTGGTGTCCCCCGGGGGTCAGCATTGGGACCACTGCTGTTTTTGATCTATGTAAATGACTTGGGTATAGGGAGTACAATTTCCAGTTTTGCAGATTATACTAAGCGGGAAAAGTAGTAAACAGTGAGGAGGACAGTAGCAAACTGCAAATGAACATAGACAGACTGGTAAAATGGGCAGATATGTGGCAGATGAAGTTTAATATGGAGAAATGCGAAGTGATGCATTTTGGGAGGAAGAATGTGGAGAGGCAATATAAGCTGATGGTACAATCTTAAAGGGGGTGAAGGAACAGAGAGACCTGGGGGTTCATATCACTAAATCTTTGAAGGTGGCAGGACTGGTAGATAAAGCTGTTAAAAAAGCATACGTGATACTAGGCTTTATAAATAGGGGCATAGAATATAAAAGTCAGGAAGTTATGATGAACCTTTTTTAAACACTGGTCAGGCCTCAGCTAGAGTACTGTGTTTAGTTCTGGGCAGCACACTTTAGGATGGATGTCATGGCATTGGAGAGGGTGCAAAGGAGATTTACCAGGATGGTACCAAGAATGAGGGACTTCAGTTATCAGGAGTAGCTGGTAGCTTCTCCTTGGAGCAGAGAAGTTTAAAAGGAGACTTAAAGAAGTTTTCAAAATTATGAGGGGATTCGATAGGGTGAACAAAGAGAAACTCTTTCCACTGGCGGGTGGGTCGGTAACCCGAGGACACCAATTTAAAATAATTGTTAAAAGAAACAGAGGGGAGGTGAGGAGAAATTTTTCCACACAGCGAGTTGTTCGGATCTGGAATGCATTGCCTGAAAGGGCGATGGAAGCCGATTCGATAACAACTTTTAAGAGAGAAGTAGATAATTATTTGGGGAGGACAAGTTTGCAGGGCTATGGGGAGAGAGCAGGAGAGTGGGGTTGAATTGGAAAGCTCTTTTCGAAAAGCCGGCACAGACACGATGGACTGAGTGGCCTCCTTCTGTGCTGTACGATTCTATGGCAGCGTCTTTCATGTCAGGAGGACCTGATGAGGAGAGGAATGAAGGCCTTTCATCCCATTTTACTTCATTCTTCCAGAAATGTCCACCTAGCCTTTCCATTACAGGCTTAAAGCTTGTTGTCGAGTGATTCCAGTGACCTGGCTTTCCCTAACCTTCCTGGTAACGCATTCAAGCTGTCAGTTTACCACTGTGAGAAGGAATGCTTCTTGCTATCTATCTTAAAATGTTGTTCACAGGCCTGAACTTGTGCCTTCTTGTCCTGTTGCTTTGGCATATCTGAAGGTAATCTTTTGGGTTTACATATGTCTGTATTCAAATCATCCCATTGGGAAAACTTCATAAGATCTTCACTGCATCCTCTGATTGTATACTTTCCTCCTAATTTTCTATCATCTACTAATTTAACCACCTTTCACTGAGTCTGGGAATAATGTAAAAAACGGCTCCTCCCAGGACTGACATTTTTGTGATTGGTGTTGTACATGCGGAAAACAGTTTTGGTGTGAGGTTGTGCATCCTAATGTCAGAAGTGTGTTCTCATCTCAAAATGCTTTTAAGACATCTGCATGACAGGAATGGCACTATCTAAATGTAAATTGTATTGTATGATGCTACAATAATCTTAATTCATATAGTTTGTGTGAAGGCAAAATGGCTGCATTCCCTATCTTATAGAGTGTACAAGCTCAATTTGTGAGACTCTTATGATGCATATTTCATTTTCAAGCCCAATGTACCATGTGAGATAAACTCTAGTTATCGAGGGTCAGGTATTGATTTGGATTAATAACTGACTAAAGAAAAAGATGTCAGGTAGTTAAAAGAGGAGCTCTGTTAAAATAGAGGAGCGTGGGATGCATTGAATAGAATCCTCAAATTTGTAAAGGTAATGAAAGTCTTTCAAAGGAAGGCGGAATTAGGTATGCATTTGGACTGATCATTGCCAAATAAATTTCAATACAGGCGAATGGAAGTACAATATATTGATTGTAACCTGAGCAACTGCGCCAATTCAGATGAATTGAAATCTCCAGTTGTCTTGTTGAACATGCACAGTAGTTAGGTCAGTCTGTATCTTGAGTATTGTGCGTGTGATAACGGCAACTGCCATTGGCAGAGATCTGGTGACATGGCATTATTTATTGGAGCGCATAGAATGAGTCTACCAACTGTGCCCATGCACAGCTAAACCAGCTATAGGGCAGGTTGGGGTTTTATGGCAAAATGTGTTGTGTATTGGAGGCTATGCTGTCGTTTTCTCTCTGGCTTGTAGAGGTTAACTACCCCCAAATTAAGCTTTCCCTGCTTTGGTTTATTGTGGCTGTTACTTTAATGTGAGTTTCATTTCTAAAACAGAAATAGTCAACCAACAGCTTTGATGACTGTCAAAGGGGCAATCATAGTACTTGCTTGAGCTCCAATTGTCTATAGGGTAAACCATGCTGCTGCTGTGGCCCATACATGTAATCTTTACACACCAGGCCACACGTAGCTGTGTGGCATTACAAGGATTTGAATATTAGATAATATGAAAAAGGCTACAATATCTGTTTCTGTAACCAGTTTATTTTTTTGCCAGTAGTTATGAAATGCTTGAAATTTACATATTAATGATCTGTTTGGCAAGAATGAACGATCTTTTTTGACCTGTGCAAATTTGGCATTTGAATGTTGTTCTTGTCAGCTAATATCTTTCAAAATATATTCTTTATAATTTATAAGAAGATTGTTTAACACTGAAGCACAATAAATTCTTTCATGAATAAAACATTCCAAATCAACATTTTCTCGTTTATTCCCCTTTTAACTTTGTGGGCTTCATTACAAGAACTGAATCTTTTTCAACTTGCTCCATATTTTCTAAGTTTGCAAGTTCAAGGAAAATGGACTTGTCTGGAACTTGATGGATTTTTTTTTGAATAATCTTGTTTTGCTTTGAACACAAGGTAGTACTGTTCAAAAGAGCTGGGTGAAGGTTTCTATCATGCTTTCATCACCAACCCCAGCGATCATTTCATTATTGGTTCGGGAGAAATCATTCTAAATGTGTATTTCTAGTAAAAAATTACTAATGTTCATGATGGGTCCATGGTAGACTCTCAAAGAGTTGGGTGGGGTGGGAGGCGAGCTTTCAAGACATTTTCATGCAATTGGTGATTGTTTTACAAGTGAAAATGATTTTGCACATATTAACTTCTATTTTACTCATTTTGTTTTGTATTCTATCTTTGCAGCTCGTAGCTGGAAGTGTTGTGATGGCATTTGAGGAGGTCTGCCCTGAACGAATCCACCTGATTCACAAGAATTATCGCAAGTTGTGCAACCTTTTGGTGGATGTGGAAGAGTGGGGCCAGGTTGTCATCATTAACATGCTTACTCGATATGCAAGAATGCAGTTTCTAAGCCCATGGAAAGAGGTATGTCATGTGCTCACAAATAATTCCCTGTCCAACTTGTAAAATTTCACAGTTTTGTTACCGATAACTTTATAATTTTTCTATTCATATGGTAACTCACTATAGTAAAGTGCACTTTCTTTGCAACGTGACTGATGTCTTAAGCCTGTTAAAATATCTACCGATTAGTCATGCTTTATAGAATTTGATTCTTTCAAAACAAAATTGTTTTCAAACCAATATGCAATAATAGAATATACAACACAGAAGGATACTATTCAATGCCATCCTAACCTTTTCTTAAAGTTGTACTTACCATCATAACTTTTGCAGTTATGAGATAGCAAGTGATTGCTTGGGCTGGTTTCTTGACCCTGATGAACAAAACCGTTAGTTATGATTCTAAATAGTATTGGAGCCTTCCTCTCCCCCCCTCCCCCGCCCTTTTGAAAGATAAGTAAACTATTTTTTCAGCTAAGTTGCATTACAAAATTTGCAAATGTCATGATTTTTTTCATGTTTTTCATTTTTCTATAAAAACATCACTTTTTTAATTTGACCTACCAACATCAATGTGTAAATCCAGCGCTATATGTTGTGGGTGACAATTAAAGGACTATTAACTAGACAGCAGTCATATCAATTATGGTATATTTTGTGTAATTTTTCTTAAATGACATCTTTTATGATGAATATTCTTCACTAAGTAAAGCCGATTACACAGTGCACCACTCAGAATTCATAGTGCTGTCAGAAAGAAGACCGATTGACTTTAGATTTACATATTAATGAGCAGATTTGTTAACGGGGTGCTTGACTAAAAGAAAATAAAAGCACATTTATAGGGCTTGACATTTATAAATGGAGCTGACGCAGAAAAATGGAAATTAAGCCTTTTAAGTTAATAAATTTACTAGACTGATAAAATGAATGTTTGGCTTTCAGATTTTGTAAATGTTATAAAAATACCATTGTTTAAATCTAGTACTTTCAGTTGAAAGGTACATAAATCTAAAAAGATGAATACAGCTCGCAAAGAGTTTGTTATAATTGTTCAAAACATTTTTTTCAATCTTGACTAAACCGTACAGGAAATGATTGAAAGTTCCAGCAAAATATTGACATTTTTCAAGGACACAAATACTTGTTTTTATTGTTTATGTTTTTTTTAAAAAACAACAGTTGAAGTAAAAAGATAGAAAATAAATTTGGCCCTGTTGATTTTCAGAAGATTAGACCCAAAGAATTCATCAAAAACAATTTCTATACGTAATGATTTAGATTTCGTTTTTTTGGCTTTTTCAGTATGATCAGTAAGATTAAAATTAATTTCCAAGAGAAGGGATGTTATTTTAAAACCTGCTGTATCACTATATTCATATGATTTGTGTTGTGGTCTGTTATGAGCTTGTTGTGATTGAACTGAGTCATAAGTTTCGATGTGCTCTTTGACATCAGCACAAATCTTTCAGCGCCTTGGGACGTCCTCCCGATCTAAAAGGCACAACACAAATGTAATTTGTTGTTGCACTCTTGCGTTGTAAAGTACTCTAGTTCTCATGTTAATCTATATTAGTTGTTAGAGCAATCTTTTGCTCATATGTATGAAACGCTGGTAGATTTAGAACAATACAAATCTACAACTCTAGGATGCCATTCAAGCCATTATATTAGTACCTGTATTTCATCCATTGAAGCCAGCTATCCTAATCCAAATTCTCTGCTCTTTCTCTGTACCCTTAATACCTTTACTAATTGCCTATTAAATTCTCTCTTAAATAAGCCAATTGAGGCTGTTCCAACAGGCAGATTTCATGGTACATGCCCAGCTGGAACTATCCATTTAGGCATTACCTTGCAAAGTTGAAGATGTGTGAATACTTCTAAGTCTGATTGACAAGTTATACATACTGATCAGCTGTTAACCATAATTTGGATTACTATGAACATGTCTTGCTTCACTAGATTTATATCAATTTCAATCCCAGTTACATCATGTTATTTTCTTTCCCCCTCCCGAGAAGATTTTTTTGGGAAATACAGTAGTGCTCATTTTATTGAATTTTAAAAAGAATGAAAAACTGTCCTTCCCTGCCCCAAGACAACCCACCTAAGGTATCTGAGATGTTTTGTTGTAGGATACAGCATAAATGCTATAGACATCATCTTGAATCCTGGGTACATAAAGGCTCTGATTACTATATGACCCCACACCTGATGATGCCCGTAATTACCACTCATTGTAATTCCCTCTCAAAGTGGAACTAGAACTTAACATATCTAAATTCACCGATGATACGAAGATAGGTGGGAGAGTAAGCTGTGAGGATGACACGCGAAGAGTGCAAAGGGAAATATACAGGCTAGGTGAGTGGGCAAGAAGGGGGGCAGATGGAGTATTACGTGGGGGAAGTATGAAGTTATTCACCTAGTAGTAAAAATAAAAAAGCGGATTATTTTCTAGAGGTGGAGAAACTAGGTAGTGTTAGTGTTCAGAAGGATTTGGGTGTCCTTGTACACAGGTCACAAAAAGTTAGTATGCAGGTACAGCAAGCAACTAGGAAGGCTATTGCCATGTTAGCGTTCGTTGCAAAAGGGTTAGAGTACAAGAGTAGGGAAGTTTTGCTGCAGTTGTGTAAGGCCTTGGTGAGACCACACCTAGAATATTGTGTGCAGTTTTGGTCTCCTTATTTATGAAAGGACATACTCACCTTAGAGGAGGTGCAACGGAGATTTACTGGCTTGGTTCCTGGGATGAGGGGCTTGACCTTTGAGGATAGGTTGAGTAAACTAGGCCTATATTCTCTAGAATATAGAAGAATTAGAGGGAATCTTATAGAAATCTATAAGATTCTTAAGGGTCTTGACAGGGTAGACGCCGTGCGACTGTTTCCCCTGGTTGGAGAATCTAAAACTAGGGGTCATAGTCTCAAAATTAATGGTCAGCCTTTTCGAACTGAGTTGAGGAAACATTTCTTCACTCAGAGGGTAGTGAATTTGTGGAATTCTCTACCACAGAAGGCTGTGGATGCTCATTCCTTGAACATATTCAAGACTGAGGTTGATAGATTTCTAAAGGATAGGGGGATTAAGGGATATGGGGATAGGGCGGGTAAATGGAATTAGGTTAGAAGATCAGCTGTGATCTTATTAAATGGCATGGCAGGCTCGAGGGGCCAAATGGCCTACTCCTGCTCCTATGTCTTATGGTCTTAAGAACCACAAAATGTGAATGGGTGTGCATGTGTGGGCAGATAAAATTAAATGAGTATAATGTGAAAACTCTAAAGGGGACAATTTTAATTTTCTTCAAAACGCAAGAATGAGAAAACAGTCATTCAGTGCACAAAACCTGTTTGTTCATTTTTCCTTGTTGAATCATCCTTGTTCTAACTTTCGAGTCCCTTGATGATCTCACCCCACCATAGCTCTGTGACTTCCTTCAACCATACTGGCCAAGATGTTCTCTAATCTCATGTCCCAATCCGCCCCACCATCGTTGAGCTTTCAGCCACTTTGGCCCTACTCTTTGGATATCCATCTCAGAGTGACTCTGACTCCTTTCCTCTTCCTCCCATTGTGCAAGGCTCATCTCAAAACGTACCTCTTTGACCGTACTTTTGGTCATCTTTCCCCTTGGCTCCCATCCCAATTCAGGTGTCCAGCAGGTGTTCTCAAGCACTTTGCAATACAATTTTACAATGCAATTTCCATATATAATATATATATGTATTAAATTTAGAAAATGAGGGATCTTGGTGAGGTACTTAATCTAATTTTATATCTAAATAGCACATTTAATAAATATTTTTGGATTCATTGTGTTTCAAAGTATAATGAGCAATGTTTTGGAGAAACTATTTTTCTAAATTTCATTGAAGAAGGTGGACAACAGAATATAATTTAAAAAATATTTTAAGATCTGGTACTCATCTTCAAGCTCCTTCACCTTGATTAAATGCCATACCAAATGTATCTAGTAGATAAAGCCGAGTTTCTGCACAAACTATTTTTTCATAGGAACTTGTGAATCCAGTATCGAAAATTACAGGTTGGTTTTAGGGTGGACGTCTGATTTGAGTTGTAGTCTGCCACTCTGGAATCTGTGCAGTATTAAGAAATCAAGCTAACATTGTTTTTTGAGGCTATTTCCTGACTCTAATACAGAAGATCATAGGGTTGTAAAATCAAGTATATCGAAAGATTACGTGGAAGACAAAATATTTGATCAAGGTTTGATGGAAAAGGGTTTATTTTCTTGTTTTTCATAGCTGATTTACTTTTTTTAAAAATTACTTAGTCGTCAGCTTTGCTGACGAATTTCAGCTCTTAGTGAGGCAGTATTGTACCAATTCACGTCTTTCCTCTAATTGAAGGTTATTTATATTTATGTGCAGTTGTAAAGTGCAGCTTGTTGTTGAGTAGTTTGCTCAGTGGAGTTGATGGCTTACTGTCATCTCTGTGGACAGCTAATGCACTTAACAGTACTGCCGGCCTCTTTGTTGTGAAAATGGGGTAATTTGGGGATGTGTGCTGTATGGAGCTCTTGATAGGACTGATTTAGGTTTGCTTTTTCTCCACTTAGTGATAGTCAATTTGTTTATTGAGCTTTTGATAGAAAATGCAGTTGCTTCTGTGATTTAAATGTTTTTTAAAAAAAATCTGCAAGGTTTCAGATGTTTTTTTTGTTCTTCTACGTACACATTTCACAATAAATAGGTTACAATATAGATAACATTTACCTACCTGCTTCTTCCCCATCACCCCTCCGCCCATATCATCTAGAACCCCTATTTTCTCTTCTACTACCCTGTAATTGAATGAAACCTACCATCTGCTCCCTCGACCCTTGCTGACCATCAACTATCTCTCCTCTTCCCCATGCTGGCAAACATAGTCAATCTGTCCGTCTCCTCCAGCACCATCCAGTTCCCCCTCAAACCCGTTGCCATCACCCCTCCCTTTTTTGTAAAAAAAATCCTTGATCTGTCGAACTCTGCTAACTACCGGTCGATCTCAAAGTTGCCCTTCCTTTCTGAAGTCCTGAATGTCTTGCTGACACTCAACTTCGCTTCCTTTGTCGAGTCCCTTCTGTCTAGTTTCCACTCTGCTCACAGCATTGAGATAGACCTAGTCAAGGTTATTATGTCCTCTGATCTGACCAGGTTCTATCTGCCTCCTGGACCTCTGCTGCTTTTGACACTGTTGACGATGCCTTCCTCCTTGACTGCCTCATCAGCCTCAGTGGGACTGCCCTCTCCTGGTTTAAGTCCAACTTGACCCACACGTACCATTTTGTCTCCTCTTAACGGTTTCGCACTGCTATCACCCCATTTTTTGCTGGGCTCCACGGATCCCTGTTGGTGAATGGATTGATTTTCTTGCTTCATACCTCTTTAATCTGCTAACACCCCACTCCACTACCTGCTACTCTCGCTCAGTTGCCTTCTGCACATCCCTTGTCCCCTCCACAAGCAAAATGTTTTGGCTTTCTAGTTCTCTTACCTTTTCTTTGAATATATGCTTATGCCAATTTAGTACTCTTCATTTTATGTTAATTGGAAACTGTTTAAAAAACACTTCATATTTTGAGTTCAAGCTTAAAAAATATTAGAGCTACCTATAATACATTATGAACAAGCTTGTTCAGGTGGATGTTAACGATGACGACAACAACTTGCATTTATTTAGCGCCCTGCACACAAGCTAGTGTCCTGTAGTGCTTCACAGTGGCGTAGTCTGTCCCCGAGCATGGGGGAGAGGGAGGGGGAAGTGACTAAGCACGATCTAAAACAGTAGGTTGTTAGGTGGGATTTGAAGGTGGGGAGGGAGGAGGCAAGGCGGAGGGATTAAGGGAGAGAGTTCCAGAGTTTTGGGGCATAATGGTTGAAGGCACTGCCACCGACGGCGGAGGGGACGAGAGACAACAGGAGGCCGGAGCCAGCCGAGCAGAGCAGCGGGTGGTGGAGCGGGGGAATAAGCAGATCAGATAGGTAGCCAGTTGCGAAGGCATGAAGGCTCAAAGTATCCCATAGTACCATTCGGAAAAATGATGTGAGTTTCTCCCAATGTCCTTACTAACAATCCCTCAGATAAAATTGTTCATTCATCTCATGGCTGTTTGTGGGACATTGTTGTGCACATATTGGCTGTCCAGATTGCCTACAAAATATACATGGAGTCCTATAGCTTAGTGATTAGAGCACTCACCTCGCAAGCGAGAGGACATAGGTTCGATTCCTGGGCAGGGCGAAACTTTGGGCAAGTTTCCTTACTCCACCTATTAGTAAGTAGGAACCTGGTTATTAGGCAATTGGCGGATTGTTTTTCCGGGTGTAATAATCCCCTTTTTTAAAAAAAATAATAGTGCTTTGGTCACTCAATCCACGACGGTTTGTGGGACAATGCTGTTTGCAATTGGCTGCCGTGTTTCGCTCACAAAATATAGTCAGTTCACTTTACAGTATATTCTGTGAACTGCTTTGAGACTTCTTGAAAAAGAGCTGGAACAAATGCAAAAAATATTATTTATTATTACTCTAGAGTAAATCCTGTGAAACCCTATGAGACATCCTCCCAATGTAAAACGTGTTATATCAAATATAATCATTATTATAATTAATAATGTCTTAAGTGTTTGAGATAATTATGTAAGATGTAAATACCCAGACACAAAAAATATCAGACCATTTATAATCTTAAAGGTGCTGGGACATAACTACTATCTAGCAAGTTCTCTGGCTGGAAATATGGCCTTGTGAGTTATTTTGGTTAAACTTTGTGCATTTGGTATAATGGTTAGAATTTGAAGATAAGACATTCATTAAAGATCTTTTACACTTGAGGTTGTTGGACGATCTATAATGTTTATATAAATATTGGCTGGGCTGATTTTTAGTTATGGTTAATGATTTCTGTCCTTTCAGGATGAGTCACTGGAAGAGAATGGTGAGAAAGCTTTCTATGATTCTGATGAAGAACAGAAAAAAAATAGCAGTGGAAGAAAGCCGTACATGATGGACCCAGACCATCGCCTTCTGCTCCGGAACACCAAACCTCTACTGCAGAGCAGAAATGCTGCCGTATGCTAAATACTATTTTCTAACGTTAATTATTTTGTAACCAGAAATATAGTTTTAGACGAACCATAACAAAGAGAAAATTGTGCAGATGGTAATGTACTTTTCTTTCAACCACATGTGTTTCAGTTGAAGTTCAGTGACTTCATGCTGCTATGGGGATGTGTTTAACAGTAGTATAGATCTGTAGCCATGGTTATACAGGGTGACCAAAAAGTTGTGATAGCTAGCCTATTATCTAAAAAAAAATCATAAATTATTTAAGACTTATTAGATATAATGGTACCACAACTTTTTGGTCACCCTGTACAAACTGTTTTTATTTCTGTTAAGTTGTGGGAGCAGGGGAGGGGTGAGAGAAGGCTACATGCATTTGCACTTAAATGCAGCCAGGCGCATTGTTCTGGTCACATACTTCTCACTGCTAGTAAAATTGCCAAGCATTGAACAAGTTTATGGGATTGTGGACTCTCTCATCACTGGAAATGAAAGTGGCACAGCAGATTGCTTAAAATGTTTTAACATTTCATATTATAAAGAAAAAGCTGTGCATTGGTTAATTCATAATTTTAGCTGGTTATACAGAAAAATATCTCCCAAGGGGGATTGGCAGCGTTATACTTCAAGACTTGATTTGAGCAATGTAAAAGACCACTGTAAACCTTACAGTGAAACTGGTACACCAGACTTGCTTGCTGCTGTTGGGCGAGTTTTGTCAATTCTTAATTGGATTCTAGATGGAACACAAGCCTGTGGTGAGTCTGGGTTTCACTCAGGAAAAAAATAGGTTTTACATTTGTGACCCAAGCACACTTCGAACCATAGAAATATATGACACAGCGGGAGGCCTTTGGACACATTTATTCATGTTGGTATTTGCTCCAGACCAGTTACTAGGGGCAGGGAATCATTCACTTAGCTCTTGTTAACCCTGCCAACCAAAGCCTGAACAGGTAGGGGTTCCAAGCTGGACAAGCAGCAGGAAAGTTTGCCAGACAGTGCTCTCAATGGGCAGCTATGCGGTTTCACAACAGGACCCCAACACACGCTCCGGGGTCCCCAAGCCTTGGTTCCTGTCAACCTGCGCCTTATACTTTCCAGCATTAGGTAAGCAGGATGTGTTCCTCCGGGGAGAGTGGGGGCATTCCAACAATCTATCTCTGGAATTTCCATGTGTAGGTGGGATGTGTGGAATTCTCAGTCTAGTTTGGATATTCTTAAGCATGGTGATGATTTCAGATCGTGTTAAACACCCGGCTGACCNAAAAAAAACCCTGACAACTCTCTAGGAAAAGAAGTACTTCTGAGTCTCTCTCTTTTCTCCCCTTAACTTCCCAGTATTTATGTGCATTTTTTGTATGTCCTTTTCCCTTCTTATGCCCAATTCCTTCCAGATGTTCTCACTGGTGACAAGGGATGTTAAAGTTGATTCCCCTCTTGAGATTTTAATTGTTTGATGCTTTACTGCTTAGATCGGATGAGAATTCATTATGTGGGAGACGTCCATGATTTCTTGGGTTAGTGTACAGAACGTCAATACAACAATGTACTGCACCACTGAGCACTTCTTGTGTTCGTGTTACTTAATAACTGAGCATTGTGAATTGCTTCCTGATCCTGGCTCATTCCTGTCTTTTCAGGTAGTAATGGGGGTCGCACAGCTTTACTGGCACCTAGCACCAAAGTCAGAGGTTACCATTGTTGCTAAGTCTTTGGTCAGATTACTTCGTAGCCACAGGTTAGTCATTCATTTAATCACTCTTACAGGAAGGTTACATTCACTTCAAGTGGGTGCCATGTTTCATGTGTTTACGACTGAAATGAGATTGTGATTGACATTAACAGGCCAGTGTTAATTGGCAAACTGAGTCTTGGTTGTTTAGAGTGTGAGTATCAGCAATGTTCAGCTTTAAACGAATTGCTAAAAATAAAGCAGTATAAAAGCTTTGAATAAAAGCTCTGTTGAGGGAAATTAATTTTGGGTTAGGTCCTATCGCAAGTTAATTTCTGATGGTAAAGTGTATTTTCAAGTATTTAACACTGACCTGCCTTTATATCTACAATTGCATAAATAGCTGTGCAATTTCTTGTTAAATCAGAAAACCTCAATTCTGTCAGTGTATGACTCCAGCTCAAGTATTACAGTGCAACTGTAGGTGCTTTTTTTAGTCATGAAATAACTTTAAAATCTGTAATACTGAACAATTTGTGAGTTTCTAATAGACATTATGGTGATTGAGGCAATTTTAAAAGGAGGACATTAGATCAATTTCCATAATAATAATAAGATTCCTTGCATTTGATATAGCGCTTTTCACGTCTTCTCGACGTCTCAAAGCGCTTCATAGAATAGACTGTAAAGTGAGTTGACTGTATATTAGTGGAATGTATATATATATTCTATGTCTGAAGACAAGACCGCTACACATCTGCTAATCAATGCTAACTCATGGAAAAGACTGGTTTACAGTGTTGATGTTTTAATAGTTTGTTAGCACCAGAAGTGAAGTTCTGTGATCCTGCCAATCAAATGGGTTTTGACCTCTTACAACACAGATTCCAGCTGAAAGTTAAGAGCTGTTTGCACTGGAAGGGTTGAATTGCTTAATGCTGTATTTGTAAGTGATCATGATGGTCTTCTGACCATAGTGAGACACAACCCCTAGATAATAGTGTGTGTGTGTTCAGGGCCTTGGGATGTCCTCCCGACGTGAAAGGCGCTATACAAATGTAATCTTGTTGTAGTTGTGTGTGGGGGGAGGGTGCGCACGGGTTACAGTAATTCCTGTGAAGCACTAAGAAAATTCCTACTGGCTAAATATGCAGCCTTCAGTAGAGGGCGTCTTAAGGTTCTGCATCTCAGATCAGCTTTCATGCAAATATGAAGTACCAATTCCTACTAGAATAAATGGAGACAGGATGCATTTGGCCTGTCCCTGTAACTTACATCACTAGTATAGATAAGGAGAAGATCGTGGCACCTTATATGTTTGCATTTGAATATCAAGTTTGTTCACAACAAAGTAATCTGTATGATAGTGTATCCTTTTGGAGAGAGTCAGGTGCATCTTATATTATAATATGTTAAAAGTTCTCTTCGATAGTAATTAACTTAAATTCTATTAGTGTCAATCTCAACTATATTGCTTTTATTTCCAGGGAAGTGCAATATATTGTCTTGCAGAACATTGCCACAATTACTATACAAAGAAAGGTATGTTTGCATCTGTTATTATGGAAAACATAATAACTTATTATTATGATTTATTATTCTTATAGTTCTCATAATATTAAGTATAACACAAAATTTCTTCTTCTAGGGATTGTTTCAACCTTATTTGAAAAGTTTCTATATTCGGTCAACTGATCCAACCCAGATTAAGATATTAAAGGTAATTATACAATTAAATTTACGTCTATATAGTGGCTTTCATGTTGGGAGGATGTCTCAAAACGCTTTACACAGATGGTTGGGCACCTGAGTGGGGGGGGGCAGGAAATCAGGAGATGGGTGTGGAGAATTGGTGATGAATTTGAAGATGAGGATGCTGATTTGCTTCCTTTTGCAGTGAAGTAATTTTGCTTGACCGTCAAATTCATGCTGATAAAATACATCCATTTGAGATAGCAAACCCTCTAATTTTTTGCGACAAACAACCCTGTGAGTATTCCTGACCTAATTTGCCACTTTGTTTGAATTCCTAATTCACAACAGCCAAACTCATGACATCTGGTTTTCTGGTCTAGTCATGCCCTCATCATGCCCTTCAAGCTGGGTAGTGTTTCGGTGAAGTTAACAGTGGCGGAGCCTGATGCTGAGTCGGAGGGAGCGGGGAGTTGACTGTCGGCATAGTCGTAGAGGAAGGTCTGAAGGAATGATTTGACAATGGGAAAGCAAGGGGCAAGGCAGGAGGGATTGAGGGAGAGAGTTCCAGAGTTTCAGGAGAGGAGAGCAGTGGACATGCAGGAAGCTGGAGTGAGCGGAGGCAGCAGGTGGTGGCGTAGGGAATAAGTAGGTCAGCGAGGTAGAGAGGTGCTGGGGCGTGAAGGGTTTTGAAGACGAGTGTGAGGATCTCTCGGTAAGTTGATTATTATTTCACCATTATATTATACACCTGGGCACACGGATGGAGAGCATCAGCAGAATGAATTGAGAGATTGTCTGCAAATCCATTTTGTATTGTGTGAAAGCAGGACGTCCAGATGACTTGAGGAACTGTGCTTCTCCCTGATCCTCCTTTTCCTTGTTTGAAGGAAGAGGACTAGCCAATAAAAAGATGCAAAACATTTTTTTATTCATTTAAAACCTTAAAAAAGAGATAGTTACACACTTAAGTAATTGTTCTTTGTACTGTACTCATGACTGATGTGTAGCGACAGCTCATTTTATTGCTACAGAGAATAAAGATGATGTTGTTTCATGCAGCTTGAGATCCTGACAAATCTGACCAGTGAAATCAACATCTCCACGGTCCTACGAGAGTTCCAGGTGAGTTCAGGGCCAGTGACTGATACCACTGTTGATTTGGTCTCCTATTACCAAAGCTGTCAGGGAGATGAGTTGCAAATTGAATGTCAAATACTCAGCAGGTGTTTAACCCGTTTGAATCCAATTAACGTATCAATTAAATTGTAAGAAGTTTTGGAAACTTGAATTGTTTTAAAAGATTTTATAAAATCTCTAATACTGTATCCTATTCCCCTTTGGAACATCAAGGCAAGTTATTTTGTCCTCTAGCGCTCTTCAAACTTCTACTCGATGGTATGTGACAGTACAGTGGGCTGGTCTTCAGAATTGTTGTACAATCAGCAGTGGGGTTGCAGAAGGGGGCTCCTCTCTCTGCTCAGTGATGCCTTCTCTGCTAAATGTTCCCTTCCCCTACCCTTCTCTTTGCCCCCCCCAGCCCCCTCTTGGTTCAGTGCCTCTATAGATTGCAAAACTAAGGACAGGAAATGGTAGGTGAATATCTATTTGGAGCACACTAAGCCAAAATAATACATTGCAGATCTATTTTATCTTAGAATTGGTTATTCAGTAATTTAGTACAACAACCTGCATTTTTATTGCACCTTCTTGCAGGGTAGAATATTCGGAGCGTTTGCTAGTGGCTGGGCTTGACGGCAAGTCAGGGAGAGAGGGAAGGTGACTGTACGCACGGTCGAACAGGGAGATCTTCAGTTGCAATCTGAAGACTGGCAAGAAGGGGGCAAGGCGGAGGGATTGAAGCAGGGAGCTCCACAGTTTGGGGGCATATTATGGAGTATCTAACACGACAGAGTAAAATTTAACAGAATAATCTGGGGGTGGGGGGGACACTTGACACATTGAATCAGATTAACTAGACCGTTCTTTTTTGTTCCTCTCCCCTCCAGACCTATGTGAAAAGTCAAGACAAACAATTTGCTGCAGCAACAATTCAGGCAATTGGAAGATGTGCGACCAATATTTCTGAAGTTACAGATACATGTCTTAATGGCTTAGTCTATCTGCTGTCAAACCGAGATGGTAAAACATTCTGCAACTTTTTTTCACTCTTACCTGCATTTTTTTTTACAGTTAATGATAAATAGAATTTGACAGTGGATTAAGTTACTTAATGGAATGGAGAAAGCAAATGCAGAATGATATTTTCAGATGCATCAAAGCAGCAGAATTTTAGGGTGGATACCAGTATTTCTATACACAAGAGGACAATCAACAGCTTGAACGAGTTATTAGGAAGAGCTGTAGAGGCCAGTGCACTGGACTGATCTTAGATATTTTTTGTTGGTCCATTTTAGTTATCCTTTATTAATTTGAGCCTGTGCCTAAGTTAACAAATAAATGATTTAAGTTATGTCAGCATTCTGATTCTCTAATTCCCCTCCCCTGTGCTATCTCCCATCGTCTCTTCCATTTTCCATGGTTGACAATGCCCTGCTGATCCTTTACTCCTAGTTTTGGAGTATGGATTTTTGCTCCAATACCCACTTCAAATGTCAACCAGCAGTGCTAAGTGCTTTGGGATGTCCTCCTGACGTGAGAGACACCAAATACATCTCAATTATATTGGAATTGCTCGATGTTCCAATGGAAGCACGATGGAGTTAGCATTGAGGTTGGATGAGATTAAATTGATTGAAAGGTCTTTTTCTGATCCTTTATTCTCATTTTAAGAATTGATTTTATTTCTGACTGAATATTGGTGATACTTTTCATTACTAGTTAAAATTTAGTGAACGGTATGGTTTTTCAGTTCCCTTTTATTGATGGTGGTGAAGATTAATTAACGAAAGGAAAATGTCTTCATTCATCTGATATTAGCAGAACTAAGTTAATACCATCTCAGTCTCTACCCAACAACAGCCACTTGCATTTATATAGTGCCCTTCATGTGGAGTAACATTTCAGAGCACTGAACTGGTGTAATTTAACAGTTAGCCAGGATGGGGGGCGGTGGGGTAGTGGGGACACCACTGTTGAAGAATGAACACTGGCTCAAAGCATGATTCCTGCATCTGTTTGAAGAAGGCAGGGCTTCTTTCATGGAAGGAAAAAATTCACCACCATGTCAGAGGATTGGGCAAACGATTCAAACAGAAAGTTTGTGTATTCAGATGGAAAATGCTCTTTTGTGAGCAGGAAAAGCTGTCTGTGACTGCAGACTGTATATGCTTCACTCGGTTTACCTCACGCTTCAGGGGATAGTCCTTTTTGTTGTTCAGGGAGATGTCCATTGAAACTTTTGGCCTTCAAAATGCTGAAATTTCTGTTGGTGACAGAAAACCTCAACCTTAATCCTGCCAGTTAACTGAAGTATTGTGTGTGATTAAGGAGAGTATGAAAGCAATGAGGAGAAAAATAACTAGCAACATTCTTTAAATGACTATGAATGGTTTATGAAATATTTAACCTCCAAAATTACATTATCATTATTTATAACATATGTATTGTTTTAAATCCAGGTCTGATGGAGCAGAAAATTAAGATCATTCTGTCCTGCCGCAAAATAACTAAATTGGGGGTGGTTTTGTCATTTGCTCCTTGGACTGAAACACAAGAAAGTCCTGGGGATTAATCAGAAGCTTAATTAAACTGTTAGATATTCACTAATACTTTGTAGTTGTTCTCACGCTTCATACAAATCCCTGGTGGTTGTCTGTTAAGTCTAACAAGGTCAGTTAGAAAATCTGATGGGTTTGGTTTATAATGTGCTATTGATGAGTGTTGTTCCTTTTCAGTGACTATCTATTATTTTACCAAGGATGTCAAGAGATATTGTTGCTTTTCTACCTTAACAATCAATGGAAATTCCAGCACTTTTACTGCAGTAGTTATTTTCAACTGAGGGAAAATTACAATCCACATTTAATAATAGTGTGAGTTTTACATTATGTGGCTTGTTGAACAGTTGAATGTAGAGTTCTCTACGTTTCACTACCTTCAAACAATAAAGCATATACCATGAATAGCAGTATATGCAGCAAGGTTTTTGTAGTGCTATAAATGGTTTGGGTAATTGATCAGAAATGTCATGGAGAGGATTTGAATGGTTCTTAATAAGACCCAGGTCTGCAGACGGTTGCTTTGTTGTGTTGATCAAGAAGAAATATTTAGGACCAACAGATGCTTCAAAGACCTTGTTATGATCGTAAATGGCCACTAATTTTATTTAAAAGCTTAGCTTTGGTCAGAAAAGCGCTCTGAGATGCTGCCCTGCGTGGAGGGCGCTGTGCAAGCTGTTATTGTTTGTTTGTTTTACCTCAAAGGCTGTGTTTTATTCAACAGAAACCGTTGTTGCAGAAAGTGTGGTTGTCATTAAGAAGCTTCTTCAGACACAACCTGCACAACACAGTGAAATCATCAAACATATGGCCAAGCTTCTGGATAGTATTACAGTGAGTACAAATTGAGCAGCAACACAGGAAGATCAATCAATGTGTCTTCCAGAAAATGTTGCTGACACTTTGGCTGCTATCAGCCTATTATTATGTGACTAACTGCACTTGAGTATCAATGGGCTTTGTATCTCTAATGATCCGAGCCAATAGAAAAGTGTGGAAATGTTTACCAGAAATTGCAGGATGATTTGTAAATTTTGTGAGGGGGGGGGAGGGGGCGGTTACGGAGGCTGGTTGGTGCTATTGAGATATATTTTACTGCCAACCTACATTTTTTTCAGTTTATTGATAAAAACTAAACATGAGGAAATAACACATATTAGATTGCTGCAAAAAAAAATATTTCTTTAAGGTAAACTCGGTGGCCCTTTTATTTTTTTGCGGGGGAGTAGACACCAGCGAGTCTACAGGAGCTCACCACCTCCTGCCTCTCAGGGCCGGCACTGCACACAGTCACAGAGAGATACACACACAGATACAGGGCAACACACAGACACAGAGAGACGCACATTCTCAGTGAGAGAGAGAGACACACACACTCATAGATACAGCGATATACATATACAGACAGAGGAGAGACACACGTACACAGAGACACTCAGAAACACACACATATAGAAGAGACCCTCAGACACACTCACAAACACACACACACACAGGAGAGAGATGCACTCACAAACACACATACAGACACAAACACATGGAGAGAGACACTCACAGAGATACTCACAAACAGAGACACACACAGACACTCGCATAGAGATACTTACAAACAGAGAGACACACAGACACTCACATAGAGATACTCACAAACAGAGAGACACAGACACTCACATAGAGATACTCACAAACAGAGAGAGAGACACAGACACTCACATAGAGATACTCACAAACCGAGAGACACACAGAGACTCACATAGAGATACTCACAAACAGAGACACATAGACACTCACATAGAGATACTCACAAACAGAGAGAGAGAGACACAGACACAGATACTCACATGGAGATACTCACAAACACATAGAGAGAATAGCACAGACACTCACAAACACAGAGAGAGACATACAGATGAACACTACAGCGGGGCCTCTAAGTGAAGCCCATTTGCCGCTTGTGCAGCAACGAGCATGTGTGTCCGGAGCCACTCCGCCCACAGTAACGTCAAGTAACCAATGAGCGGCTTGTGGGCCAGAAACTTCATTTAAAGTAGGAAGTTGTTTACAGCGGAACAAGTGCGTCCACATTTTTCTATTGGCCCAGCTAATGACTTAACTGCTGATTTGATCAACAGTAGTTTTGACTGTCTCCAGTCACTCCCAACAAATACTACAGATTAATAGGTCCAAACTTCCACCTTGTCTTACCCACTTGTCTTGTCTAAAACCATTTAATCGTAACATTTACGATTGCTCTCTCTGACCTACTATCCCCCTACTTACCTGCCCGTACCCTCCGTTCCTCTGGCTCCGGTCTGCTCCACATTCCCCGCCCCAACCGCCCTACCATCAGTGGCCGGGCCTTCAGCCTCTCAGCCCCTAGGCTCTGGAACTCCATCCCCCAGTGCCTTCGCCTTGCTTCCTCTCTTTCCTCCTTCAAGGCCGGTCTCAAGACCTTTCTCTTCGACCGTGCCTTCAGCTCCCCTCTCGACTCTCTACCCCCTCCTCGCTCCCTCCCTTCCCTCCCCTCACCCTGACCATTTCCGCCCTGCTCGGGTCCCGACCCAACTGTCCAGCGCCTTGGGACGTCCTCCCGACGTGAAAGGCGCTCTATAAATGAAATGTTGTTGTTGCATAAAATTGTGCAAAATTCATCTTGACCTATTCAAACTTTTCATTTCTTGAGGACTACAGAAAAGCAGCTTTCAAATTAAGATTAAATATTAGAGCATTTCATAAGGCAACATCTTGCATTTTAAGACATGATGATCTTGCAGGCTAACACTTGGTTGAATTTCAGGTCTAGTTCTGACCCCTTTTTAATGTATCTTCTTTTTCTGGCCTGAATGTCTTGGCGCATACCGGGATATGTTTCTGGAAGTATTGACATCCCTTTGGTACTGCTCAATCAGCAATTCTTTATGCATTAACCTAAACCATGTCAGAATATTCAACCTAGAGGGAATCGCAACCAAGCCAATGTTCACATGCAAACACATCTTCTGGGAGGGAACTATTGACTGATTTATTTTTGTTTCATTTTCCCCTCTATACCTACCAACCAATTGTAGAATCCTTATTGTAATACTGATTCTGGTTTAGCAATTTAGCACAGACCATGACTGAATCTGGGACTTTTGGGTCTTATGGCTCAGTTTTACACAATGGTAGAGCCTCATTTTTCCTGTTTTTCAATGTTCTGTACAATTGTTCCTATAAAATCTACAGTTATGAGGAAATCCATTTTGTAAATGTTTACCTTACTTGCTAACTGCAAGTTGGAAGTGTTGTTTAATATTTCTGTCTACATATGTTCAAAATTATACCCAAGTTTAGAAATGTTTTTTTTTGTTGCTCTCTTCTAATCATACATGTGATCTTGCATACTTAGAGGGAATTTACCTTTTTTAAAATTGGGCAGTTCACTAGATCACTTGTAAACAAACAATTTCTGTTTAGAACCTACAGTATTTGGATGTGTCATATTGCAGAAACATTCAGCTATTTGCAGTCAGTGGTGTGAATAGAAGATTTTACCCATAAAAATGAATAGAAGTTGCCTTTATTAATGACATAACTAAACTTGTTTCTATCCCCTCTCCTCTCTGTACTTTCTGTAGGTACCCATGGCTCGAGCTAGTATCCTTTGGCTGATAGGTGAATACTGTGAGCGGGTTCCAAAGATTGCACCAGATGTTTTACGGATAATGGCAAAAACCTTCACAAATGAAGAGGAGATTGTGAAGCTGCAAACTTTGAACCTTGCAGCTAAACTCTACTTAACAAATCCCAAGCAGGTGAGAAGTTGATGTAAAAGTCTGACATTTATTTCAGGGTTACAATATTAACATTCTGTTGGATACTTGCTCTTATTTAAAATACCACTTTTGTTGTAAACTCAACATTTAAAAAATGTAATTACATTTACACGTGGACATTATTGAATATCTGGGGGCTAGAGAAGAAGAGATATGGCCTACAATAGTGGAGGAGGTTGGAAGGCACCAAACCAATGAGACAGAAATTTCGGGATAGGGAGAGTGGTTGGAGGTCAGAGTTCTGCATTGGCTGTAAAATAAATCACTGTATAACAAAAGTGAAGCTTTGCATGTTGACTCTGCCTGTGGATCTCTGCCAGATAATCAAATTGTCCAAAATCCACTCCTTTGAACATAGAACTTCAAAAGTAGGGATGATTATCACTTTCTCAACAAAGTTATTCCATACAATAAAGTTCATTTTTGTACAGTACCTTTCACGTCAGGATGATACCTCAAAGCCCTTAATTAACACTGTTTGTTGAAGCTTACAGCAAACCATTGGAAATCTGACTTGCTTCTTTATAATGAAGCACAATTTCTCTGAGCTTTTCAGTGCTTTCAATGGCCATCAAGGAAATAAAATCATGATGCTGTATGTCTTATTTACAGTACAACAAAACAACTTGCACTTATATAGGGCCCTCCACACAGGGTAGCATCTCAGAGCGCTTAAATTATGCTTTGACATTTCAATGACCATCAAAGTAGTAGATTTTCATACACTGGAAGTATTGCAACACTGTTTGCTGGAACAGAGCGCTTACAGTAGCTCTGCTTTAATTCTCTTTAATAGATTATCTAAACTCTTGCTGGGAACTCCAACCACTGCTAACTGGATACAAGCACACAACACTGCATCTTCCAAATTTGGTATTGAGTTGGCAATCATAAAGACACAAAAGATAGCTGGTTTGGTTGATGGGAAATATTTCATTGATGCAGTAGGGGATGCTGTTGGTGTTTTTTTGGAGGCAAAGTTGAGAGTTTACCATTCATTGTGCTATAACTGACTGGGGATTGTATGATCTTGACACCGACTGCCTGAAATGAAAAATGTTCCACTTCCCAATATTAACATTCCTTTGCCTCTGTGTACCAAGTGTGAAAAGAAGTTAGCAAATTATGTACGTTAATTACTTAATGTCAGAACTGCTTGAAACCTCATTTTACATACTGTGTGCATCCTTGTTTTAACAATATTCTCTGTATTAGCTTAGTTGCAAATTTGCACAATGAATTAGTTCAGTGAATCAGGAAACATTAAGAATGATTAAAGGGTGGTATTTTTATATTTTGGTTTGATTTTTTCCTTTGGTGTTAACACTTGACAATCACCATAAATAAAATGCTCGTGGTGAATCATTCCACTTAAGTTACCTGATCTCCAATTGTTTGTTGTGTACTATGTAACATCAAAATAAATTAGAAATACTTTGCAACAAATAATACTTCCATCGTATGAAAATCTACTATTTTGATGGTCATTGAAATGTCAAAGTATAATTTGGCAAATGTATCCTATTCAAAGTTTGAATGAGAAACCTATTTTTAAGTGTTACTATTTGGTGAAAAGGTCAGATCAGAATATCTGCAAGTAGGTTTTGCTTCCTAAACCTCTAGCTTTCATTACACAGTAGAGACCGTGGAGCCACTTATCTTGGTCGTAGAGGACATCAGCAGTTAGTTATCCTGAGATAGTAATGGCTAGATGCGTTGCAAATAATTTGCAATAATACAGTTCAGTGATTCATATAGCTTAGCTAATGGTTCATAATTCAATGAATAGCCTATAAGTGCAATCAGTCCTCTGGGCACCACACATGCCTGGGGCAGTATTGTTTATAAGATGTACCTATTTGGTAGAATTGTGCCAAGCCTAATACCATCTGATATGTTGATGTCCTGCATATTTTCTAAATTAAGTCTTGAGTGCTATGTTTTTAGTTGTATTTCTACATTCATTATCCTCACGTAGACCCTTCACCAGCTTTGCCATATATGATTATTTTTTAATGATGCCTTTCTTTCCACTTCAGCAGTTTAATAATCTAGTGCCTGGCTTCTTCTCAGCGTTCAGCATTCACCTACTCAGAACAGATGAGGGCATGTTTCTTAGCTAAAATTTCATTTGCTGCTTTTAGAATGTGTATTCCCATTGGAGCCACATTTGTTGGCCATAACCATTCATTTTTATTAAGGCTTTGAATATGTTTATTCAGAGTTATCAATAATCATAAATAACATGTATTATTTTCTTGTTTTGTTTTGCCAACAGACAAAATTGCTTACGCAGTACATATTAAACGTAGCCAAGTATGATCAAAACTATGACATTAGAGACCGTACAAGATTTATCAAGCAGCTGATAGTTCCAAATGAGAAGAGTGGAGCTTTAAGCAAGTATGCCAAGAAAATTTTCCTCGTTCAGAAGCCAGCACCCGTGCTCGAATCTCCATTTAAAGGTACAGAGTAAAAATCTCATTATTATATTTGAAATCAATAAATGTGAATGTGAGATGGGACTGAATATTTGACCATTGTTACCCAGCATCGAGGGAAAACATTCACCACCATGGCTTCTAATCATGAATACAAAAATGGCTTTTACAAAAGCATATTGCCATAAAACCAATGTGTAAATTCAGTGAATTTGCACACGTGGAAAATGCCATCTCACGAAAGAGTACATTTGCAAAAGCTTTTGCTTAACAAAAACGCTGGCTGGCTTTTTGAATTAAAATGTCTGACTTCTGGATCATTAGGTTGCCATTGATAAGGCTTCCTATTTTGTTTGTGTCAAGCAAAACAGCAGGTTCAATCAGCGGCGGCCTAATAACTCAGAATTTAGCCATTTTAACTTGCGTGTTTTTTTAAAAAAAATCAGCTGACTTCTGAGTCATCAGATTACCAACATCATTCCTGCTTTGGGAAGGCCCAGCAAATGGGAAGTCATGTTGGTGGCTAATTTTCCAGGAGTGAGTTGTTTGCCTTTGCGTCTGCGCAGTCAAACTTGCAATTGTGCCTTTCTATAACCTAGGTGGGGATTTTATGGTTTCCAAACATTGCATTATTATGGGACTCCACTCTATTGCCCTCTTCCTGATGCTGATTTTTGTTATTGCCAGCTAATGTATTTATACTCTGTCCTTGCTATACTTTACTTGCATGTTTTAAAATGTTATTTTTGATCTTATCAGTCACTTTGGTCTTGCTGGGTTCCTTTTTCTCTGTGGGGTATACTTTCCACTTGCATTCATGAGGAATGTTATTTTTAAAAAATTCAGCACAAGCCCAATGATCTAATGAACATCTGTAACTGACAGATAACAACAAAAACAAAATTACATTTATAGAGCGCCTTTCACGTCAGGAGGACATCCCAAGGCGCTGGACAGTCAGGGGTCAGGACCCTAGCATGGGGGAGGGGTGGGGTAGGGGTGAGGGAAGGCAGAGAGGTGGGAGAGCGACTGAAGGCACGGTTGAAGAGGAGGGTCTTGAGACCGGCCTTGAAGGAGGCAAGGGAGGAAGCGAGGTGAAGGGACTGTGGGATGGAGTTCCAGAGTGTGGGGGCTGAGAGGTTGAAAGCCCAGCCATCGAAGGTCAGGCGGGAGACATGGAGCAGGCCAGAGCCCGCTGAATGGAGGGAGTGGGCAGGTTGGTAGGGAGTCAGCAGGTCTTAGAGGTAGGAGGGGGCAAGGCCATGAATGGCCTTGAAAGTGAGGCCGAGGATCTTGAATTCGATCCTCTGAGGGATGGGGAGCCAGTGGAGTCGGGTGAGGGTGGGAGTGATGGAGTCACAGAGCCTGGTGTGCGAGAGCATACGAGCTGCCCAAGTTTGGATGATCTGCAGCTTGTGAAGGGAAGAGTTGGGAAGGCCGATGAGGAGGGATTTTCATAATTGAGCCTTGATGTGGCGAATGCATGGGTGAGGGTTTCGGCAGCCTGAGGGGTGAGGCAGTAGCGGAGTCTGGCAATGTTGCGGAGGTGGTGGTAAGCAGTGCCAGTCATGGCGCGGATTTGGGGGAGAAAGGATAGTTCAGTGTGAAACAAGACACCCAGGTTCCTGACTGGCTTCGTGAGGTTGAGTGTGCAACCGTGAAGGCTGATGCTGCCAGCGCTCGAGATGCGGAGGCGCTGGTGCGAGCCAATCAGGAGGGCCTCGGTCTTGCTGACGTTGAGTTAGAGAAAGTTGGCCCTCGTCCAGGACTTGATGTCGGACAGGCAGTCGGTCAGGTTGCCAGTAGTCCTGGAGTTGAGGGTGGAGGCAGAGATAGAGTTGGCTGTCATCCTTATACATGTAGAAATTTACTCCATGTCTGCGGATGATGTCACCCAGGGGGAGCATGTAGAGGGTGAAGATGAGGGAACCGAGGAATGCCGTACAAGACGGTGTGGGGGTTAGAGGAGAAGCCGTTTGCAGAGACGAAGTGGAGGCGGTGTGAAAAGCAGCACCTGAACCAGTCAAGGACAGAACCTTGAAGGTTGAGGTGGGAGGAGAGGCGGTGGAGGAGGATTGAGTGGTCCACAGTATCAAAGGCGGCGGAGAGGTCGATGAGGACAAGGAGGCAGAGGGAGCCCTGGTCACATATGGTCAGGATGTCATTTGTGACCTTGACCAGAGCAGTTTCCGGGCTCATGGAGGAAATGGGAGGAGAGGAAAGAGCGAAGCTGAGAGGTGAAGGCTCTCTCAAGGGTCTTAGACAGAAAAGGGAGGCGGGAGATCGGCCGGTAGCTGGATAGCTGTGATGGGTCAAGGAAAGGTTTCCTCAAGGTGGGGGTGACAATGGCTGTATTGAGGGGAGTAGGAACAGTGCCAGATGACAGGGAGAGGTTGATGATGTCAGTGAGTAGTGGGGCAAGGAGGTGGAGCTGGGATTTAAGGAGAGGAGTGGGGATGGGGTCCAGGGAGCAGGTGGTGAGCTTCATGGAGGATATGGTAGTGATGACAAAGGAGGGGGTGACAGGTTCAAATGTGTGGAACGAGGGATGGGTAGCGGTCGGAGTGTGGGATGGAAGTTGGGAGGGCAGTGGCAGCTGAGCAGATTCCCTCGATTTTGGACTCGAGGAAGTCCAGCAATTCCTCGCAGTGGGAGTCGGAGGAAAGAATCTACGAGGCGGGGAGGGCGGAGGAGCCAGTTGGTGGTGGAGAACAGGAACCTGGGGTTGCCCTTAGCCTCCAGGATTAACCTGGAGTAGAAGGATGATTTGGACGCCGAGGCGAGAGCGGAGCGGTAGGTTTTGGTGTAGTCCAGCCAGATGTGCCGGTGGACCATTAGGCCGAATTTGAGCCAAGTGCATTTGGCAGACCGCACCTGGCCCTTGAGCGAGTGGTGAACCAGGGTGAGGATCGGGAATAGGAGGCAGTTCGGTAGGTGATGGGGTCAAGGCCGTTGAGTGTGGTAGAGAGGGTGCTGTGGAGGAGAGTAAACACAGAGGATAGGTGGTGGGCCAGAGAGGGAGGAGTTCAGAGGGCTCCAGGGCAGCAGAGAGGGATTGTGGGGAGATGTTTTTCCATGGGCGGTAGAAGATGGAGGTAGGTTTGGATGAAATGGTGGTCACAGATGGCCTTGTCAGTGATGTTGACATCCGAGACACTGAGGCCCTGGGTGATCACCAAGTCGAGCCGGAGACTGTGGGTGTGGGTAGCAGAGTGGATGTGAAGGGAGAGGTACAGAGAAGAAGTCTGAGGAGGTGGTACAAGAGGGGGTGAAGTGGAGGTTGAAGTCGCCTAGGATGATGAGGTGGTTGGAGCAGAGGCAGAGGAAAGCTAGAAGGGTGGAGATGTCAGAGATTAAGTTGGGGAGGGTTTTGGGGGGAGGTAAATTAGGAGAATTTTTAGTGAGAGATGGGAGGGATGGCAGAGGGCGTTCAAAGGAGGGGAATGAGCCAGCTGAGTAGGGGGATAGGGCAAGTGATGCCCTGGAGATGAGGGTCGCACCACCGTCACAGCGGTTGGGGCATGGGGCATGGTGGTAGGTATGGGCGGATGGTGTGGCCTCAGTGAGGGGGAAGGTGTCGCCTGGGGTGATCCAGCTTTCAGTGAGGGCCATTATGTCAGCGTTTTCATCGAGGATGAGTTCATTGATGACCAGGGCCTTATTGCAGATGGAGCGAACGTTTTGAAGGCCCATGCGGAGTGGACAGTTGGCAGAGGGATGTGTGGAATGGGAAGGGGTAGTGGATTGGTTGGCAGAGAGGGTGGGGATGCAGATGAGGGAGGAGAGGTTAGCCCCCGGGGTCTGGGACCGGGGTGGCTTGTGGCGGTAGTGGGGAATGGGGCAGTTGGTATGGCTGCTGCTGACAGCCAACGCTGAGTGTCACGATGAGCCCGGTGGAGGATTCCCAGGCTGGAGCAGAGGGAGGCAGTGGGGGGGGGGTCAGGAGGCGGGAATGGCGGAGAGAGAGCAGGACAGAGCGGGAGAGTTGCAGGGAGGGGGGCATTTTGAGGGAGGGCCAGCTCGGGTTGGGGGTGGCAGCCAAGATGCACACGCTGGGACGAGAGGCGGCGAATTAGTGGGACATTGTCAGCCTGCAGGAGGCTGTGGGGACTAGAGGTGACGCAGAGGGGGGAGGGCACTCATTGTGGTTAGCAATGAGCAGCCTGCAGGGGAAGCACAGGGGAGGGAGATGGTCAGAGGATGGGAGGGAAGGAGGGAGGGAGACACTGGTGTAAGCTATACTGTATTGTACCTGCTACCAGGGATTCAAACCTGGCGAGCGGAAGTGACGTCACACAGAATGGCGGGAAAACCTGAAAGTCCAAAATGGCGGCTCCCCCTAACCAGGTAATGGCCACCGCTCGATCCCCGAGACCCTCGGCCTCCAGACACTTGCCCCACCTTAGGGTCCACGAGACCCCGGCCCAATCTACAGCTACCAGCCAGCCCCTGTCTCTGGCTAACACCGGTCCCGATCCCCAGCACCACAACCCTGCCTCGAGCTATCACCGGCCCTGACTTACCTCTAGACTGGGAGGTAAGTGGCTCAAATCCTGGTCCAAGCTGGTTGTATCTGAGACTTTGGGGCGTCTTACGTGGCACAGCCTATCCAGGGTTAAAGAGGAGAAAACTAGCCAGATTTCCTGCTTATGGTTCCTCTGCAGCATCCTATACTGGTGACAGCCAGATGAGAAGTCAGATTTGGCTGTGACTCCGTCTACAGTCAAGTAGTCTGCTCACACTCACTGTCAGGACTCACACACAATCAATAGCTACTTGGGCTGTGTGCATGAGGGCAACCAGCTTAGGTGGAACTGTACTTCAGGAGTGAGGAGGGTGAGGACCAGCAGCTGTGGAAGGTCCAAATGGGGAGAGCAATTTTAAAACCAATCCAGTTCTGTAACAATCTAAATTTCAGATGTAAACTGAAAATGCAAAGCTTGAGCACTTTGCAATCATCTGGCTGGATTACAATACAAAAAGGGGAAGAAAGAAATAACGTAGGACTGATTTACAGCCTGAAATTCACTCCCATATATTCCCTCATCATCTGGGCATCTGAAGTACGTGGCTTGAGTTGGGATACAGTTCATGGTAGCTGGTTGCCAAATGCTATCTTATCCAAGTGGCCATACTTTATGTGTGAGCCGAGTCAGTGAGTGTCAGCTGGATATTTAACCGTGGGGGATTTCACAGCCGAGCCCAATACAGCCTCTTGACAGGCCAAAGGGGTACAATAACATTTGTAATGAAGTACTTGTATTATTGATAATGCGACCAGAAAGGTCAGTTGTACGGAAATATTTTAACCTGGCATCTTAATGGAAAATAATGTTGAGTGACTACCTTATTAGTTTTTAAACTGAAGATTACTAAATCTCCAGTAGCCAGAATTGAATGTTTAAAACGTAGGCATGTAAAGTATAATCACAATTCTGAAACTGGCTTATTCGTTGCAAACTGAATACAGGACACGTTATATGCAGATAATGAGGGATTGTGATATCATTTTAAATTTTCAGATTTTAATTCATTTCCTAGTGCTGCAAAACTCTTTCAGATTTTGAATAAGCCATAAAAATAATTATATGGAGCTATAGAAAGACTGATGGAGAAATGTAGCAAGTATTGCAAGTGCTCTTAGTTTGCTTTCTCAACTGAAGGTGCTAAATGTTTTTTTGAGGGAACTTTTCTGAGTACTTGCAACCCTCCAGAACAATGCATGTACGCATGTTTTTTTTGTGAGGGAGAAAGGCTACGACATCGACAGTGTCACAATAGTGTCCTCAATCCAATCGCTACATGTAGCTTTTCCGATGAGAGTCATTAAGCAATGACGAAAAGAGCAAGTTGCCTATCTCAGGGATGTTGAGGGTGGCATCTAAAGGCTTCTACCACAGTTTGCGCTGAGATTGACTTGCTCAAAGTAGAGATTAAACCTGGGACCCATCACATCTGTATGACTCTTTATCAATTCTTGCAGTGCGTTTACTCATTAAACCATCAGGGGGCTCTACCTTCTTTATTTTCAGAGACAATCTTAACTGTAGATTTGATTCAGAAAGCCCAGAACAATTTGCATCTTGATGAAGAGGAGATAGCCCAGTGGTGCCAGGAATCTCTGTTGATCATAACTGTTGGCCAGCATCAGTTTCATGGTCTGTTAAAACAAGTTTTGTCAAAAGATGTTTAAAATTGATGAGGGTGGAATGATGCTGGTCTTACACCTTGACTCCCAGACCAAATACTTCAGGCCTTTTTCACCTTTCAGTGAGAACTGGAGATGTTTGTTATTGCCTCTGGCTGTAGCTTGTTTGGCACTCAATAAAGAAAAAAGAACCCTGAGCCATAGATGGGATTAAAAAAGAAGTGTTTGGGATTGATCTTTACGTACACTCCATTGACACTGATGGCAGCCAGGAGGTTTGCTCAATGGAAGGATCCACTGGCTGCTGTCACTGGAGAGCATCCACTTCCTCGTTGTTGGGAGCTTTTGGGAGCAAAACCCCTGATCTAAGGATTTCTCAGAAAAAATACCTGATCATGTGAAGAAACACCTGAGATTTACTGTTTCAATTGAATATACAGTATATTCAGTGTTCAGTATTGATGTAGTTGCCTTACTATTGACTACTATCTTTAATTCAGTTATTACCTTTGGGGACTAAACTTGTATTATTTTGTGGGTTTTGGAACTTTGCTGTTGTATTTTCAAGGTTGGTAATATAAATGTTTGCTTCTACATATTTTGTTTTGATTTGTCAATGTAAGTCCTCATCCAAAATAGATTTTGAATTTTTAAAATAATTTAGTTTGTAGGACAAACTTAATTTTATGAATAGATTTGAAATGATGGCCGACTTGTTTTAAGGACTTTGAAAAACAGATTTGAAAATATTTTTCCTGTTTAATTTTTGTCATTGTAATAATAATAATCCTTGCATTTGATATGGCACATTATCACATCTTTGAGATGTGTCAAAGCGCTTCACAGAATATATTGTAAAGTGTAGTGACTGTGCGTTTTGTGAGTGAAACATCGTCATCACATTCTGTGAGTTTGTGGCTATGAAGAGGGGGAGGCAAGATATACAACACACATCTCTGAATTGGCTGATCTTTACCTCTGAATAATACTTTGAGTAGATTTGTTTTGCTTATGAAATTTTTCATAAATTCTTTGGTTTGAGATTACCACTTTATTTAAAAACAGAATATCTAGTTTGTTTCATTACCACTTGCTATTGCAGTAGCATTAAAAAGTTCTGTTTCTATTGTGGTTCTATTTCTGTTGTGGTGCATTGTTTAATTTTTCACTGTAGGCGAAAACAATTCGTTCAGGTTGACAGAAAAACAAAGTATTAAAATTCAGAATGAGTTTTGTAGCACGACATGTATGCGGATTGTTTAACTGTGCTGTCATTCTTAATATTCACAGCAAAGTTTTAGAGAAGCTGCATTTCAAAGCAACACCTCTAAACACACTGAATGATTAGTTTTTTTATTGACCATTATGGGTAAGATTATTGTAATCTATGTGCTGAATTCAGTTTTCTGACCTGTGAAGAATCATCTTAGTTTTTATTTATACCATGACATTTGAGATAATACACTGCCAATTACTACAGGCCCTGATTAAGATTGCACCGTGTGACATAAAGCCAATGTAATTTATTGTTGTTTTTTCTTTATTCAACAGATAGGGATCGTTTCCAGCTTAGCACGCTATCACACACACTTAACACAAGAGCAAACGGATACCTGGAACTTCCAGACTGGCCACAGACAATTCCTGATCCATCGGTCCGAAATGTGGAAGTTCAGCCAGTATGGGATTTTACTCTTGTGTTATTTGCTGGTGCACGCTGAGTGACATTTCAGCTCAATATTTTGCAAATTTTGGGAGGGAAAAGAATTGGGGCAGAAAATTGTGCTCATTTTACAATGAGAATGAGTGTTGAAAAAATCTGGTGGAAATGAGAAATTGGTTCAGAATATTACTGTGGTGCAATATGTTACTGTTATTGTGAACTTGGGGAGGGATAATTTGCATTACTTAATATAGAATTAGCATTTTTAAATAATTTCAATTTGTAAATACATTTTTTATACATTCATAATCAAATATTTCATATTTTTATTTCCCCGATTGTCACATTCATTAGTTAATATTTGCGTAACTATTGGATTTAATAACCCCTAAATCTTCAACATTTCAAATTGTTTCATTATAATGATTTTTTGATTCAATATTATTCTTTATAGATGATATTGAGATGGTTTCCGCATGTGAAAGAATTTCTGTTTTTAGCTTTGCATTTGTAAACATTATCCCCATCCGCTCAGATTTCAATCGGCAAACCAAAGTAATACAGTGCTTGTATTTAATATAGTGATTTAGCATGTTAAAACATTCTGAGCACTTCACACAATGAGTTACTTTGAAGTAACTTGCTATGCAGGAAAGTATGACAGAAAATCTATGCCTGCAAAATCACACAAATAACAATGAGTTTGTACATTCTGATTGTGGTGAATTTAGATGAGAGCAGAATATTTGGGCCCAAGAAACCTGGAGAACTCACTGCTTTTAAAAATGGTGCCATAGGATCTTAAATAGGCAGATGGAACCCCAGTTTAATGTTTCATCCAAAAATGGCATCTGTAACAATCAGAGAACAATTGAGAACACACTCAACACTATATTAAAAAAAGCTTGGATAGTCCGTGTGAGTTTTGAGCCTCAGAGATATTAGACCCAGACAACCACATAAAATTGCCCTTTATAAAAGCAGCCAAGAAAAATGCTCCTTTTAAAATGCTATTTAACCCTCTCAAACTATTGTGCACATACACGATTTAATAGATTCTAAAGGGTAACTATACTTTTGTTCAGCCCATGCTTCAGTACCATTGCCTTGATGCATCCGCACACTGATGATGACTAACTTGTAGATTGACGACATGCTACCCTTTAAAGTAATAGGTATTGTTTTAAATGTGTTTGGTCAACCAGATTTTCAGTGTTTTATTTATTTACCTTCCAAAGCCAATTGACTAAATCAAGTTTTTCTATTTTAAAAACTCATTCTTTGCTGCCTTGAAACCAGTGGCATAGTTCTCTACATTATGTAGATTGCATTTAATATTGTTTCCTATTTTAAATAAGAATTTCTGGGTGTTGCTCTTTGTCATCTTAAAAGAGAACACAGCTCTAAAACCACTCTTGATCTGTATATTGGTGGTGATTGGAGTGATTGAACTGTTCATGATCTTTTTCTGCCTGGTAAAATTCGTTGAAACTACAGCAAAGGCATTGAAATGGTGGGAAGTTGGTACTTTGTAATAAAAAGATAACCATAGGAAGTAGTGGGGTATGGAAAAAGGGATCGGAGGGGGGGTGGAGGCTCATGTGGAGTATACAGACTTGTTGGCCTATAGTTCTGATCTATAACAGTCAGTGTAACTGAAACTGTTGCATACTTGTACTTTCTTTTTTAAATGGTTTATTTTTAGGAAGGCATATTTGTAACCTTACCAGTGGGAACGCTTCCAAAATGTGACATAAATACAGAAGTTATATAAAAAAGTTTGTGCATTTTCAGATCCATTTCTTTTCAGCCGCTAATATTGTGGCAAAATCACTGATTTTCTGTGTGTGTCCACAGGTGAAAGAACTGATCTCATCTGTGGGTAAAGTGAAGAAAGAAAAAGCAGAGGATCAGTTTTATTCTGATTCTGAGGAGCAGGAATCCAGCAGTAGTGAGTTTTGATGAACTGTTGTGACATACAGTTAGCTTGAAACAGCATGTAACACGTTATCTCACACACGTGGGGAATTTATTCTCCCCACACGAGGTAATCCCATTAGAACTACTTTCACGCCAGCCCCCAGCCGTTAGAGAATCAAAACTGCTGTGTGCTCGGTCTCTCAGTCAGTAAGTGCTCATCCATTTCCATGGCAACTCCCTTACCATGTCTGTTGATCAGCATTTGAAGGGTAGGACAAAAAAACAATCTCTGTGCTAAAACAGTCGATCCATAAAAATAAAACTTAAAGCGCCACACAAACACTTTGTTTAAAATATATCCATCATGTTCCAGGCCTAAAAAGCAGCATTCAAACTCCTTCACTACTTTTTTTTGCCCACCCCATCTCTCCTGCGTGCTGGTTCATGCCTGAGTAACAGTGCTCAACTGACAATTCTTGCATGCGTGAACCTAAATAATAATTATTTATGGGTTATGGTGCACTTGAACCTGGGAACTGCCTCGTCTGAACAATACTGTGTTGACTTTGCCTAATAGCAACTGGCGGTGTCATGAATTGATTATAATCTCTAATCTAGGTTTCCTCCTGCCAGAATTGAATTTTTAGGTCTAGAAAAGGCCACTATAATGGGTCAAAACTAGTTATATCAGCATTATTGTTAATTATTAACATTCTCAATATTATTAATTTGGAGATTAGTTGTAATTTCAGTTACAGATAATGTTTAAATGCATGTTTCTGGAACGTGTATTTAAAAATGAAATTCCATAAATGTATTAACTAATTCCATTGTAAGATTAATGTATTGCCTCCTTTTATTAATTTTACTTTTACTGATCCTTCAGCTTTCATACTTGGCGCATAAATGTTTTGCTGTGTATGAAATTCAATGGGGAATAGCATACATATTTAATGTGATATAATAATAATAATAATAATCCTTGCATTTGATATAGCGCTTTTCACGTCGGGAGGACGTCCCAAAGCGCTTCACAGAATATACTGTAAAGTGAATTGACTGTATATTTGTGGGCGAACGCGGCAGCCAATTGCGCACAGCAATGTCCCACAAACAGTCGTAGATTGAAAATGACCATTTATTATTGTTTGGTTTTGGAGGGATTATTATTAGGCTCTGTGTGGAGTAAGGAAACTTGCCCAAGGTTTCGCCCTCTGCCTGGAATTGAACTCAGGTCTCTCACTTGCAAAGCGAGTGCTCTAACCACTGAGCTACAGGACTCCACAATGGAGATACAGTGACAGTGTGTGATAGACAGATACAGTGAATGTGTGAGAGAAATAGTCAGTGTGTGATACTGAGATACAGTGACAGTGTGTGATACAGAGATACAGTGACAGTGTATGCAATACAATGTGTTTTTAAAAGATATATTTGATGTATCACAACAAGTTGTACATGAAGAATGGTTAAAATGGTTTAAGTTCCAGTGGAAAACTGATGATTGTGATCATTGAGAAACAAAATATTCTTAACTCCCCTCAACTTTCTATATCAGCCAGCGAATACAGTAGTGAGAATGAAGGGAGCGACAGCAAGAATGAGGACAGCAGTGAAAGCAGTTCAAGTGAAGAATCCAGTGATGGTGACAGTGATTCTGAGTCTGAAAAGGAGAAAACAGAGAAGAGAAAAACAAAGACTCAAGAAAGGTAAAATACACCTCCAACAGCACTTAATGTGAGAACCATGGATTGACAGGTTTGCTAATTCAGTGAAGTAGACTTTTTGAAAATTATTCCAAGTGTCATAAAATTGAAACAGTAATGTGGATACATTGAAGGTAATCTTAATATTAGTTTAAGAGCTTTGTTTAGAGGAATACCCAAATTGCAGGAGCTGAATCCCTGCCCCCATGTGTCCATGATTTGCAGGTAATTCCTTCCAGGAGGTGTTGTCCCAAGCCGCAGGGTTTCCTCATCAGTTTTCTGACAGATATTTGCCTTCAGCATGGATGGGAGGCTGTGATGGCCAACCACCTCGATTTTTCTAGTGGTTCAACTCCAATACCATGTACCAATTTATTCAGCACCAGCTGCTTAATCCAGGTCCTCATTTGTCAAATAGACACATTCTTTACAAAACCTGCATTAAACTGTTAACGTGAATGGAATTTTCACCTCCTGTGTTTTTTGTGTTGTATGGTGTGAACTGGGGCTGAGAGAACCCCACATTAGAGGCTCTGCAGTAAACATGACACCACTGGTTGCTGCCTGAAACTGGGACTTGGGAGGCAGCACCTTAACTATTGGTCTGCTATTAAACTGAAATTGATGTTGTTGATTTAATGCTAATTTAGTTAGCGCAGGTTTGCTTTCCTGATTTTTACTGATAGGGTTTATCATGTTATCGTTTCACCTGATTTTAAAAAAAAAAAGTACATATTACTTATTTAAGAACTGTGAATCTTATTTGACAGGTTGCACTCTTTCCTGTCAGTGCTTGGTGAGATCGCTGCCCTTTCATGCATAGGCTGCTGCTTGTGCTGCTGATGAGTGTGCAGATTGACTCTCTGGTAGCTGACAGCACTGATTGGGGTGTAGCACGCACTCTGATCCTTTTATTATAGACAGTAATTAAGGCAGTTTGCCCTGCCACTTCATAACAAATACACCATAATGCCCTAATTATAACTTTATTAATTTAAGTCAGGATTTAATGATTTTAAAAGTGATTTATATTGTTTTTCCTGTTCGGAACAAATGAAATCTGTAGCTTAAATTAATACTGGCTTTCATTGCTGCAAAAGTTGAAAAGCCAGTTACCAGTAAATTTGGTTCATTAGATTAGCATTCGAAATTCTCTGTAGCAGGGTAAACATCCGTTAGCTATCAAAAGAACCAAGAAAAGGTAGCAATTGGCTACACAAATTACTCCAGAATTTAAACACACACACAGACATATATTTCTGCCATTGTCCAGAAACGCTTGTTTTATAGGTGAGTCCAGGAAAGCTTTTAAAGTGGATCGTTTGATACTGATAAATAGACACTGCTCCCCAGTTCTATTGATAACCATTCTGCCCCTGCTCACTAGAACTCCAAAATCCATACATTTCTTGCACCAGACTCCACACATATTTCGCCTACATAATCAACAGGTACCTATTTCCTAGCATATTGATTTCAGGAACCTTGTTCTAACTTTAAAATGCCTGCATATGTCTTTGCCACACCCTACCTTTGTAATCTCCTATGCTGCTACTCACTCTGCTAACTCGGTCCTGCTTCATGCCCGCTGCCCCCTCCACACCACCATTTGGAAGTGAGCTTTCAGCCGCTGTCTAAATCCCTCTGCCTTGCATCTCTCTCTCTCTCTCTGCTTTCAGAACTCTTCTAACCTACCTTTTTGACTGCACCTCAGTCACCTTCCTTTTACTGCTTCTCTTTTCTTCCTCTTCTCCCCCCCCCCTCACCCAAAAACAAAAGCTTCTACCTTGCTTTGGCTCTCTTTTGAGATGTTTTCCAACATGAAAGATGAAATATGAATGAAAGCTGTTTTTTTTGAATACTACATATCAATTTTTTTATTTATAATTGAATAACTGTTCCTTGAGGGTTACATTTGTCACATCTCATCATCAATCTTGTTTAGCTTCCTCATTGTGGCTGTACGGAAGGAGGGCTCTGCATTTCGAGTTATGGAAGAAGCTGGAGATCAGTTATCCAAGCAGTGACCTCTGGTGGCAAGTGATAAATATGGAAAAAATAAAAATTAATATCCCATCTCCCCCTTTCTCCAGTGAAAACAATGACTCACAAAATGGGATACAACCTGAAACTAAATCCAAAAAGACAAAAGCTGCAACTTCTTCTGAATCAGAGGAAAGTTCAGAAGAAAGTTCAGAATCTGCATCTGAGAGTGACTCTGAGCCAGAAAACGTAGTAAAACGACAGGTAGGAATCTACGTAATGCATTCCTTTTATTACTAAAGTAGGCAAGATGAGCAGGTGAAAACAAATGCTGCTAGATATCAATAGTGATTTTTTTTTCTTTATATATTGTGAAAATGATTATTTGGCATATTTTAACATCATTTTTCACCTCCATTGTGGACAAAATAAAATTGCTGTGGCAAGGAAGGTATTTTGAGGGTTTCGGATTGAATCATGGCCCTTGTGCTTCATTTTTTTAAAAAAAAGTTCTTCTACAAATTCTCTAATTTTTAAAGCTTGCTCATTGCGATTTGGGGTTATGGAGCTGGCGTCTGTATCTGAAGAACTAAAATAATTTATTTGGATTTCTGGTACTAAGAGACTTCCTATGCAACTGGGTTTATGCTTGATGTTTTTCCCAATCAGCCAAGCCAATGTCTACTCTAGCAGATTCTAAAGCTGAATTTCATGAACCCCGAGATTAATATCTTGACTTCCAACAACTACCTTTTTTTTATTTCCAAACTGTCTTTTGCTTTATTCTGAAATATTGTACATATTCTGTGACCATGCATGTTGGGAAAATCTTTGACACAATTCTGGTAAATCGAATGGGGCAAACGCTTGAACAATCCTAACTTGTTGAAGGACAGTCAGCTTGGATTCAGAAAGGAAGGTCATGTTTAACCAACCTTCTTTTGAAGATATTACTGATAAAGTGGACAAGGGTATGGCTTTGGTATTATAGATCTTGGATTTTCAGAAAGCTTTTGACAAGTTTTCATGTGGCAGTAAGTGACTAAGGCAAGGAGTCACAGAATAGGGGGCAATTGGCTGCCATGTTTCGCCCACAAAACAGTCAATTCACTTTATCCTGTATATCCTGTGAAGCCCTTTGAGATGTCTTGAAGACGTGATCAGACTATATCAAATGCAAACATTATTGTTATTACAGTAAGGTGTTTCATGGAAATTTTAATATAAAACACAAAATTGTGGGTGGACATAAATTCACGGGTTTGAAGGAGTTTATAAGGTATACTTTAAGAGTTTGTCTTGCTAGTTGTAATCTCAACAATTTAGTCATTGGTACGTTACGTAAACTTTCCAATTATAGGATATGCCAAAATGAAACTTCAATAGAATGAGTGGTGGAGTGGAACCCACAAAAAACAATGCCAATTTTGCATTTATGTAGCTTTCTTTCACATCATGAGGATGCCTCAGTGGGTGGAGAATGCTGAGGAAGGTGTTGTGGGGGTGGGGGGTGGGGGCGGTGACCAAAAGTGGGCTCAACAACAAAGGTTTAGAGATAGGCAGGGTGTGAGGCAGACGATTTAAGCAGAAGGTTTCCAGGATGAAGTTCCAGGGTGCAGGGCAGAATGGCTCTCAATAACTGGTTAAATTTCAGCAGTACCCCAACACACATTCTAGGTTCCCGTACCTTGGATCTCTCCAACCTGGATCTAATACTTTCCGGAATTAGGTAAGCAAGAGTGTCCCTCTGGAGATATTCCATCCCAAACATATGGAAATGTCCATGTGTAAGTGATATGCATATCAGGTTTGGATTCTCAAGCACAGTGATAAGTTTCTGGAGGTGTCACACCCAGCTGACTAAAACAAGTGTGAGCGGTAGGATATTAGGCATGTTTTTTGCTTTGTACTACCAATATTAAATGTCATAAATTCAGGCAAATGAAACATGTGTTAATACTATTCCTGTCTAAATTTCTGACAAACATAAAGTAGAATAATTGTAATGTTTTAAATCAACTAAAAGTTAATGACATTGTTTTGCAACATTGTGGCATATGTTGCGAATAATAATACTTTTTGAATTTGATAATAGCGCCTTATCACGTCATCGAGACGTCTTAAAAGCGCTTCACAGGAGTTACTGAAGTCCTGTAGTGTAGTGTTTAACGTGCTTGCCTCGCAAGCGAGAGGACCTGGGTTTAATACCCTGGCTTAGGCAAGTTTCCTTACTCCACACGCCTCTGTTTACCTAGGAGTAAGTAGGAACCTGGTTGTTAGTCGATTGGTGGATCACTTTTCTGGGGGTAATAATCCCTTCCAAATAAATACATAAAATAATAATAATTTGGGCACTCAGTCCACGACTATTTGTGGGACACTGCTGTGCGTAATTGGCTGCCACATTTCACTCGCAAAATATACAGTCACTGCACTTTACAGTGTATCCCGTGAAGCATTTTGAGACGTCTCGTCGGCATGATAGGGCGCTATATCAAATATAAGTATTATTGTTACTGTAAATTGGATTGACTTTTATAGGCAATTTTCGCTCAAGTGACTGAGATGTGGCTGAAGGCTAGAAAATATTCTGTCTTCATTTGTGTTCTTTTAATAGCACACAAATGTTTGTTTTTGTGAGCGAAATGAATTCAAATTTATTTAAAAACCTTATTGAAAGACAACATTCAGTCATAAACCTCGGTAGAATACCTATAACTGCGCAGATCTAGGCAATGAAAGGGTTAATATGGGATGCAAATAGATGAAAAGAATAGACAGGAAATTTTAAAACTCATTTATATTAACATATTAATGGGGAAATTCAATAATACAAGTGTTTACCTGCTGGCAAAAAATTGCAGAAGAGTTGTGGATGCTAATATGCTATCAGTTATCAAAATAACAAAATTCTGCTAGGTTTTCAAAAATTCAAAGCATGTCTCTGCACTGTTCTGAATTTAGTGTGTCCTCTGTGTCAAATGAGCAAAAAGAAAATTGATGGACAGTAGCATTGAAATGCATAATTTGACAAACCATTTCAGTAAAGCCATGATAGTGTGCAGTATTGCATGATCTTAAAGAGAAAAACAAACAGCAGAGAGAGCTCAGTTCTCGGACAAATCTAATGCAGGCACTGAGCTGTTTAAAAAAACCTCTGATCCATATTTTAAATATAAAGAAACAAATTGTCTATATCTTTCTACTCGATCTGTTTTTAAGTATGAACAAAATGATATCAGTGGGAGATCTGTCAATGCATTTGGTTTGTCAATGATGATTTTGTATAAATATGGGTAGAGTAAGAAATAAAATTTGCACAGTAGAATGCGATTTCATCTGCCTTCTCAGCAGCCCCATTGCTCATGCTGTGGTGTGAAATTTTCATTTGACACAGTTTGCAGTCAGAGGCCATGAATTATGCATTGGCCTGGAGAAATCCTCAATCTCCTACTTTGTGCCACAAATGCATTTATCTAGATTCCATCTCTATTACTGGGATCAATCTCTTGATTCGGGAATATTTGATCGGATATGGTTTTAACTTCATTATTTGTTTTTGTTATTAGGTCCTTTCTGTGACGGTTACTTATTCTGTCTGTCACAGAAGAAGCTTGGAGAGCGACTAGAATGTCATGGGTTCTTTCTATTTTTTTTTATTGCATAAACTCATGAAAATGGTTTGATTTAAATGCATGCATTTAAAAACACAAATCTATGTGGTTTTATTATGACCACAATTTGGTGGTTAAAAGCTAATTTGTTAATGGGTAGCATTTTAGCAGTTGAACGTAGCTTCCACTAGTTTCTTTGTGTTGAGAATGGGAGGAATTTGAATTCCGAGCTGAAGTGGTCTAACCAGGGACAAAAACAGAAAGGAGTGCTGCATTTTCAAGATATTTCAAGTTATCATTGACTACCTAATGCACCACGACAAGTGAAACAGAGCACTGGAACAGAAGCTTGATTTAATTTAGTGAATCACAGTCAGCAAGATGATGAATGAAATTGGTAATAACATTGACTGTCCTGTGAAGTTTTAGATCGTGGAGTCCCATAGGGGCCAAAGTTTCCTTACTCTTCGTGCCTCTGTTTACCTAGCAGTAATTAGGAACCCGGGTGTTAGTCAATTGGCGGATTGCTTCTCCAGGGATAATAATTCCTTCAAATAATAATAATAAATTGGTCACTTAATCCATGACTGTTTGTGGGACACTGCTGTGCGCAATTGGCTGCTGCGTTTCGTCCACAAAATATACAGTCAATTCAGTTTACAGTATGTCCTGTGAAGCGCTTTGATGCGTACCAACGACCTGATAAGGCTCTATATCAAATGGAAAGTATTATTATTATTACTTTGAGATTTGAAGTTTTCCAAATAGGTATCAGTTTCGTGATCTGGTTACTGCTGTTGTCAAAAGAAATTGTGATGATCAGTTCTCAGATCATCAGTGGGTTTTTTTCTGTTGTTTTAGTTGAACTTGGTGATGTTTGCATATAGTGGGAAACTATGCCCTCTAGCAACTGTTCTTCCAGCTGCCTTCTGTCTTGGAAGTTGGCCAGCAGAATTACTTTGGAGAATTTCTGCCGTCTCCAATGCGGTGTAATATTGCAACTATAGCAAGTCTTTTTTTAAAATAACATTGATTCGAAGCACCGAATTTAACTTGCTACCTGTTCAGTTTTCATTGATTCCCTTGTTGCCTTGCCTAATAAGTTGGTATGAAAACCAACCTTTTTTTGGAGGACAGATAGGCCAGGAATAGAATTGTTGTTTGAGTTTCATCAATAACTAAACTTGAAATTAAAGAAAAAAAACATTAACTCTTTAATAATACACTTTAATTTTGAATCTGTTTTTTCATGATGTTGTATTTTGGCTTTTAGTATCTCTTACCGCTGCTCAATCTGATGTGAAAATTAGAGCATTTTGTGTTGTTGTTTGTAATACCTTTCTAAATTAAAACCACTTGTAGAGTGATAGTGACTGCTTATATAGACTTTTATTTGTTTAACAGAAGGAAGAGAAGAAAACTGTGTTACAGGTCAAGGCTTCCACTAAACAGGAAGTTTCACTGTTGGATTTGCTTGACTGTAAGTATTGGTGCTAAAACACAAAAGGTAATGTGTTGGAACTGGGGACTTAATAAGCAGTAGAAGGCCTTACAAAATGTAATTAGTTTCTGTGGAAATGGACTATTCAACAATAATCAGTTGCAATTGATGTATCGGTAGTTATTTTGTCTAGTAACAATGCAATTTTCAGTTCCTATATGTGAATAGTTTAGTTGAAATGTATAATTTGATTCTGGCCCACAGCAATGCAACAAAATTATAGCAAGAGAGAAGACTACTGTGGGAAGCTTTGTAACAGTATCATCTGTCTTTAGCACTTTTCTTAATCACAGGCAAGGAATGTTTGATCTTCTGCTTTTCTAATTAATATTTCTTATTTTTTTGCAGTTAGCGACGTATCAGCACCAGTAGCCCTTCCTAAACCAGTGGTGATATCTCCAAGTTTAGCAGCTGAGTTGGAAGGATTATCGCTTTCCAGTACATCTCCTATCATTGATGTAGGTTTTTCAATGGAATGTTAATCCTTTTTAAGTGGTGAAAAAGCTTTTAAACTGTGTGCTACTCTTCAATATGTTTTCAACATTGCATTTTTTGTTCCATAAGCAAGTTTACAAATTGCAGTCTAAGAAATGCACAAAGCCATAATGTGTCATTCCTTAATATACACACAATAAACTTTGTTTGAAAAAGAAGTTTGGTGGAGAAATACTCTCAAGAGTCTTCCAACAATTTGTTGTAGATGCACTGTATATATTGTGCAGTTAAAACTATAAAATCTAATAGCCACTCCAACCTAGAAGGCCAAATATACTGGAATGCTAAGTACTTTAATGTGCACATCATTCCACAGAAATAACTTGATTAAATCTGTTGTACAGTTGTATAGATTGCCTTGACTGTGTCCTGAGAAAGCAGTAAATTGTTTTGCTTCTCTGAACCATTTCAGTTGAATTTGGGCTGTTGGAATATATTGGACAACTGATTGCTTTTGGTGCAGAATAACTGAGTTTTTTTTATTTTTTTCATTTATTACAGCATTTATCCGAATTGTTTGCTTGAGTTTATTTCTGAATATTTAGGTAAAAAGTAAAGGTAGAATTTGACAAACATGGTTTAAAAGATGAGATGGTTAGAATCATTGGAATTGTGGTAATGGCATTGCAATATACTTTGTTTGCTTCAACAGTTCACCAAAAGTGCAAAGTAATATAGTAGTTTAGCAAGATGTCGGTAATCTGTTAATGTGGGTTCAATGGGTTTGGTAATTCCAAGCATTGTTCTTGGGATATATATTTAACTTGTTTCTACATCTGCCTTGTTTATTCGATAGTCATGGTTACATTCCAAAACCTGTCTTCAGCAAATATACTGTGCATATAAATTTGCAAATTAGTGGAATGAGTTACTGGATTTGCAAGTGATCTTTCAAGTCCTTTGATATAACTTGGATTTTTTTACTCTGTTTAGAGTCAAATTAAAAGTTTTTGTTATAAAGAACCTTGCATACCAAAATATCACAGATTTACAGTAATGTCAACTGTCATTTAAAAAGCAATTTGATGATGAACATTAGGGAGGGATGAGATCAGATGAGCGACAGGGCCTTGTCGATTTCAAGAGTTGAAATATATTAAAGAGTACTAACAAAGGCAAATAGTATTTTTGCTGATCTTGGAATTGGGTTCATCCAAAATGATTATTTTCGATTTAAGGTAGTTAAAGATTTAAGGTAGTTAAATCCTTCAGATAAAAATTACATCTGTTTAATCTTTTGTATTACAACTCTAATTTTGGACTGTCTTCTAACTGCGATACAGTAGCTTTTGCAGCTTCGCAATGGACCATTTCAAAAATATAATCATGAATTGAAATTGCTGCGCCGCTTACTGTCGGAAAGTTGTTTATTTTAACTACGGAAAAATATTACCGTGTTTTTGAAGAAGTAGCAGCTGGTTGACACATTTGGCTGGTTTTAATGTTCAAGACTCGGTACTGTGGATTCATGTGCTATTATTCAAAAAATAGTTTATAGTAATTTGTTGCAGTTGATAGTTTCATTTCAGCTTTGGTGGAATAATTACCCAAGCTGGAAACTGGCTAATGTGGTTTCCGCATTCAAGAAGGATGACAAACCCACCCCTACTACTACAGACCCATTAGCTTGCCCCCAGTAATTGGAAAACTAATGGAGTCAATAAACAGAAGCAAAAGAAGAGAGCATTATTAAAATAACCTAATAAATGACAACCAACATAGAATGTACTGTGATACATATTATATGGGTAACCTCAGAATTTTACCAAATTCACAGTGAGGCGCCATGTGACGTAGTGCATCTTCTACTTGGACTTTCAAAACCTTTCATGTAGTACCACACATACTCTTTTACAAACCACAAAAAAAAACAATTTGCATTCAACAAAACAGCTTCATATACATATATATTTATATATTTCGCCCACAAAATATACCGTCAATTCACTTTACGGTGTATTCTGTGAAATGCTTTGAGACGTCTCAAAGACGCGGTAAGGCGCTATATCAAATGCAAGGATTATTATTTATGTGTGTATATGTATGTGTATATATCTACATAATATATATTTATAACTAAAACCTCAGATATCCAAATGAAGAAGTGGACTTAGACTTGACTGAAGAGAAGGTGGCAGAGGGAGCATTAATCCTAAGGAGCATTGGTTCAGCCTCTCAGCCCCTAGGCTCTGGAACTCCATTGCCCAGTGCCTTCGCCTTGCTTCCTCCCTTTCCTCCTTCAAGGCCGGTCTCAAGACCTTTCTCTTCAACCGTGCCTTCAGCTCCCCTCTCGACTCTCTACTCCCTCCTCGCGCCCTCCCTTCCCTCCCCTCACCCTGACCATTTCCCCCCTGCTCGGGTCCCGACCCAACTGTCCAGCGCCTTGGGACGTCCTCCCGACGTGAAAGGCGCTCTACAAATGCAATGTTGTTTTGTTGTTTAGAATCGGTGAAGATATTGAGTGAGATTCCTCAGGGGTTCTGTAGAAGGACCAATGGACCAAAAGGACTCCAATGCTTCGTGTACATAATTGGCTTGGGTTTGCAGATTGTGCATTTTAGTCCACGTAGTCTTTGTCAGAGTATATCTGGAGTACTAAATACACTCTCAGTGTCAGAATAGAGCCACTCAGACCTAGAAATGCTGCACAAGAGAGCAATGAGGCTGCTACTCAATGTTATAAGGGCAATATGAGGAATGACTAAATAAACCAGTGCTCCAGCCTTTTTTAAAAAAAAACGACTCAGAAAAGATTTTGCATAGATATCCAAGATGCTTAACAAGATGGAGAAATAAAACTGGGACAATACTTTCAGATACCAAAAGACAGCTGAAGCTGATCAAGGGGGCACAGATTCGGTGTCCTAAAGCAAATGGTATGGACTGACACCGGGAAGTATTTCTTTACATAGAGAGTAATTAACTGCTTGAATGGATTACCAAGAAGAGTGATTGAGTCCAGGATACTAGACTTACTTAAGAAACTGCTTGCTGCAGAAATAGGAAGACACTAGGATGGGTATTTGAAAAGATGGAGTCAAATGGGCTAAAGGGTCTTCCTCATCTGAGCATTCTTTCCTTATTTACAACTGACCCTTTTTGGGTTGCTAATTGCCAAGAAATTTTATATTTAGATTCAGAATTGTTTTAATGGAAATAAATTGAAACAATAAATTTGCATTTATATGATTTTGATTGGAATTAAGTGCTTCTGTCCCAAGGGAGGGCACACTGTTGCAGTCTGTTTCCATGGCACAATAAAACCCTGTATTAACAAGCTTTTTTGTAGCAGGAATTTGGTTCCAATGTGGAAGCCGTTCACTATGTATGTGCACAGATAGCCCGCTCACACCAGCCAGTTTTCGAGTTAAAATGGCCGACTTGCAGGTCATTGGATTGTCACTGACATCACTTACTGCACACGTGCAATGTAGAAGGTATTAAGTCAGTGGAATTCTGAATGACCTTAAGAACATTTAGCATTTTAGCTTCCTGCGATACCAAAATGTCCTACTTCCAAATCATCCGGTCATCAATGACATCAAATCCTACTTTGCACATCCACAGTAAATGGGAATTGATGTTGGCAGAAACCTGATGACCCTGATGTCAGCCTTTTTTTTTTAAGTGTGGGAACTGGCTGTGGATCCCAGCCACCTGCTTTATACTGAGACTGCACTGTATTTGCAGATATAATAAATCTCTTTATATTTCTATACTTTGAGAATCAGTCAGCCCTTGATTGTGTGGGTGGGGAAAAGCTTAGTTTGTTAAGGAAGGGTAATTCAGAGGGTTTGTTGCGTTAGAAATGGGTGATATTTGGTGACTTAATTCTAGAGTATTTTAACTGAGTCCCACAATAACTTATTTTCATGTTTTGTGTTGAATGCCACAAATAAATTAAAATCAGCCACTTTGTCTTCAGCTAGTATTCTCACTCTTTTGTGAAGCAAATTGCATGTACTGATAATAATAGCAAGAATTGATAAGCATACTGTGAGAAGAAAGAAAATCACTACAGCAGCATTTAATTATGAGAAAAAGGATCTTCTTAGAAGTTTGGCTTGGATATTGAATACCTTGCTGTTCTTAAATTACCATTTCAGACACCATTAATTCCTCTAGTGTACTCGGATACTAATTCTTATTTGCTCTCTCTTTGATTTTCTCTTTTAAATGTACTCACCACCACCAAAAGGGATTTGTTTTTCACCTTTGAGACTTTTGGACTTGCAGCTGTATCTTTGTATTTTGGTCTTGGACTTGACAGTGTCTAAATGTATATTGTAATGTGCACTGTGTCTAGATATATACTTGATTTGGGGGATGCAGATTTAAGTTCAGGTTTATAAGCCTCTCCTGAAAATGTAAAAGTTCTAAATATAATTTTGCATCAAAGTCCCATGTTGCTCTTCCTGAATCTTTTCCATCACTTCAATATCCTTTGAAAGGCAGGCTACCTAAAATGATACACAGTCTTCCAAATATGGCCTCACTAGTGATGCGTACAAGGTTAAAATAACTTCTTTTGGGTTATAGTCAAATGTCCTTGAGACGTAAGCTAGTATTCAATTAGCTTTGTTGACAGCAGGTTCACATTGACTGGACCCCTTCAGTGAATGATCAATAATCACACCCAAATCCTTTTCCTTCTCCATCTTTGCTAATAGACACTCCTTCATCGTACACACTTGTTTACAGTTTCTTCTTCCAATGTGCATTGCCATAATGTACATTAAGATCCATCTGTCGCTCCTTGTACCATCTGGTTTATTGTTCCAGATTTTCTCTAATGCTGTTCATCCTCCTCATATTATTCACCTGGCCAGAGAGCTTTGTATCGTCAGCAAATTTTATATATTACGAGAAGTGCTCTCCAAGTAATTTCTGAATGGTGTGAATTGGGTCATTTTCTTCATATGGCCAAGCTTCATAGTGAAGGATATGTGACTACGAATGATGA